AGGAATTGTATATCCCTCCGTTACAGAGACTTAATACAAAGAGGAATAAAACATATTGAAAAAAGCTACTAGGTTGATAAAATATCCTCTTGGTGCCTAATATATGTCCTATCTAAAATAGTATCCTCATCATTATTTGTTTTAAGTTTTCCAAATAGTTTATCTTAGAATTTACCTCTTATATTAGCATTCCCTTTAAAATAATAATAGTAAAAAATAAATATCCTTACCGTCATAGGACCCATAGTTCTCACCTAGGGTTTCGTCGTGGATGTCTCCAAGCAGTTTTCCACTAGCAGATTCATCCTGATTATAGTCCAACGCGGTGTCTTCGTCTGCTTTTGTAACTTGAAATCTATCTGGCATATTTCTGGATGTAAGGCACTCTGAAATCAAAATCAGTTAATATCCATTGAAAGCTTATCAAGAAACGAAAAATCAAATATCAAAAGCATTCCCGACGATCATAAGTCCACTTGTGTGTTTGTTCCGGATTCGAATAAACCCACGAACCCATAAACTCTTAAGTCAGGTAAGTTACTTTCCGCCGATAATGATTCTATTTTAGTCGGTTCCGAATTCACATAAACCCAAAAGCCAATAAACTTTTAAGACAGGTAATCTATACTTTTTTATTTCCGCCGCACCTCAAATAAGTATAATAACCCGTGATCGAAGGTATCATCACATTATTTGCATAATATTAGTTACTATCACATGACTACTGAAATTAGTAGATGACTAAACGAAAAGAAAAATTGCACCTTCGATTTATGCTCCACTTTTCAGGGCAGATAAAAAGTTGTTTTCGATCTTTTCGCGCTAATCGGTTTACACTCTTTATTGTTAGCATAAGATAACGGCCATTTAGTATGGCTCAGAGGTGTTATGTCACGGGTTTCGTTATATAAGTTACGACTTTGTTTCTACCCAAGATATGATTCGGAATTTTAACTGTTATATAACAAATTTTGTACTACTAAGCACCATGGACATTATGGCGGTCTTTCGACCGTGCGTAGATTATTCACCGCCACTGTAATTTTAGCCTGGACTGATAAATAAACAACAATGTATGTAGTCATGTCATGCACTAGCTGCAAATTTTGGGGGTAAATTGGAAATTATTCCTACTATCCGTCCATGTAGATACACTTGTTCAATCGGAATGCGTGTACTATAAGCTCAGTCTTATCACGATCGGGTCTCATCCCGATTTCGGCCAAAAAACGAGCAAAACAGATGGCCCAAGTGGGGGTCTAGTTCATTGATAAGTGCATAAATCTGTTCTCATCGATTGGGGGGCGCTCTGAACCCCGCATACACACGAAATCGTTCCATAGATTAACGTAAATACAGGTCTACATGGAACACAAAGAAGTGCATGCAGATACATCCATATCTACATACATATCATATGTATGTAGTTAAGGATGAGCGACGACGCACGTAGAATCAGAGCCAAAAACTGGATGGAAAAGCGCGTATTATCTAACGTCCCTCAGCCAAGGGTTCGATTTCGATCCGGGGATATAGGTAAATCACATCGAACAATCAGCCATACATACAGAATAAATCGGGAATGCTTTTGGCACGGGAAAAATGTAATGTTTACGCGCAGCGAAATTTTATTCTATTTACTTGAGCAAGCGCCTTGAACTCGCTTTTCACCGACGATCCACTTATGCTAACTAACGTCCTTTCTGCTTGTATATTTATTTATTTTTAAGGCGCCTCCACTCCTGCTTATTGTTTAGTGAACTTTTCAATTGTACGAATAAAATAAAACTATCATATTAAAGGCGCATGAGTAATACAAAATGATTTTCCACTGTATATACTTTGGAATCGCGAGTTGGGGGAAACTGTTGTATTAATGAAAAGTCTAATTGAAATCAAATGTAACGCATAGGGGACGCATGAATACCGATTGTATTTTGGAAAAAAGTCCGCCAGAGATATATTTATTGCAATTAGCACCCATGATATGATACCATTACCATCTTATGATAATTTCCTTCTCGCCGTTTGGTGAACGCAGAAAATTACTGTTTCTTGGCAAAGTTTATAAGGCAGTTAAAAGAGTCTAATAGCTATAGATGTGAGCTGATGTGGGTGTGTATATTAGCATGCATTTTTTTGCCACATAAAAAAATATATATTTTTTAATACAAAATTATGGATTTTGGATTACATTTTGAGATCTCCGCAGCGACAAACGTATTTATATCTGCAAGTTTTGACATTTTCGAGCTGACAGTTAATAAATCTTTAAATATTTTGGTGGAATACACATAAGCCATGGTTTTTAATATGCAAAACACTTTAAAATGGACAATGTAGAAATTTGTTTATTTACATAGTGCTGCAGGGATAATGCGATAGTTCTTTGGAAACATTTCGAAACACCTTGATCGGATTATTTTGGGGGTTGTCAGATTTTACAAATAAATAGTTTTGAAATTGGGTTTTATGTAAAATAATTATTTTATTTTTTAATATAAAGAGAAAGTAAAATTTTTAAACTTAAACACAGATGTTTTATTTTGATTTTTAAGGGGCTACCGATAGTATCGATACAAAAAATGAATGCTCTGCCAAGATGCTAACTGGATTAATTCCTGAGGTCTTCTCACTAAAACTAAAAAATGTATTAATTTATTGGTTTATATCACTTAATAAATCACATATGAATGAAAAATAAAATTCATCGATAGCTCTCACCAAAGATCATTGGCAAAATATTTGTTTGCTTGGCTGAATGGGGTATTCTTCTCTCTTTTTATTGTCAGGTATAAAATAAAATCTATTTTTTAACAGAAAAATTATAAGTTAAATTCAAACGCTAACACTTTTGTTAAACAAATTACACTTTTTATTAAATAAAATAAAATAAGGTACGATTAAATATAAAATTTAATTTTTTTTTTAATTAACTTCACTTAATTTAATTTAAGCCAAAAATATCGCAACCGCGGTTCTGTGTCTCGGCTAAGAAAGCTAGAGTGGCCGTGGGCTGTCGTTAAATAGGCCCTTTCCAAAGAAAATGGACTCCTCACCCACGAACCGAAGCGTTCCTTTTTAAACATTTTCGTCGCGGTGCTCATCGTGCGTCTGTTCCAACTGAAGGTAAGTTGCGAAATTCTGAGTGATTAGCGGCTACTTAGGGTGGCTAACTAACTGCCCAACTAGCAGCCAGCGTTTCAAATAGTCAATGTCCATGGTAAACCTTGAATTCCGCTTAAATCGAGCCCTGTTCGCTCCACCACGTGTTTTCCAAGAACGCAATGCATGGTAATTTGATTGAATCGCACATGCACACACACATGCGAATACATTTCTGCCGACCGAATGGCGTATTAGTTTTTAAAACGCCCTTCGATGTGTGCGAATCGCTCTACAAGTTCTATAATATTTAGCTGCTCAATAAATATGTAGCTCGGGTTTGCATGTGCCCTCAGTCTGGGATTCCTTCACAGTTGCAATTTTCTGTATAAGAATCTGCACATCCATGCATGTGCACATGTGTACATCAGTCTGTACATCACTGGCGAATATGTACATCAAAAGTAATTGCATGCAGAAAACTAAGATACTCTTTAATCTTGCAGTGAAATCGGCATTTATTGAACAATGGTGGACCCTCCAGCAGAAGGCAATGTAGACCCCGAGTCCTGCAACGAAATCGACGAGGAGAAGTCTGGCTCGGACTGCCAGTCGATGTGAGTAGAGAGCGGTGACGACATCCTTTTTGGCACCGAAACAAGGGCAATTAATAATCCAATCCAACACTCCAATTAGGCCGGCCTACATGAACTCGGTTCTGCGGCGCCAGTATCTGCAGGAAATGGTCAAGTCTCTGCCGGCTCCGGTGCAGAATAGGATTGTGTATCTGAAGAACCTGCAGTTGGAGCACCTGAAAATCGAGGCCGAGTTCTTCGAGGAGGTCTACAAGCTGGAGCAGAAGTACCAGGTGCAGTACCAGCCGCTGTTCGACAAGCGCAAGGAGATCGTCGAGGGCAAGGTGGATCCCGCCGAGGAGAAGCCCAAGTGGAAGGAGCCAGAGCCGTTGACCGACAACGAGGCCGATGCCGAGCACTTCCGCGAGGCGCTGAAGAGTTTGAAAAGTATTCCCCAGGACGCCAAGGGCATTCCCGGCTTCTGGCTGACGGTGTTCCGCAACACGGCCATTCTCTCCGAGATGGTGCAGCCCCACGACGAGCCGGCCATGCGCAAGCTGATCGATATATCCATTAAGTACGATAATGGGGTGAGTTTTGCTATGCCCTCCAGTCTTTCAGCATGCTAACGCTCCTTATCCCTCAGCATTCGTACACCTTGGAGTTCCATTTCGACAAGAACGAGTACTTCACCAACTCAGTCCTTACGAAACAGTACGTTCTGAAGTCCACCGTGGATCCCGACGATCCGTTCGCATTCGAGGGCCCAGAGATCTACAAGTGCACGGGGTGCACCATCAACTGGGAGAAGAAGATGAACCTGACAGTGAAGACCATCCGGAAGAAGCAGAAGCACAAGGAGCGTGGCGCTGTGCGCACCATCGTCAAGCAGGTCCCAACGGATTCCTTTTTCAATTTCTTCAACCCACCAGAGGTTCCAACCGACAAGGAGGAAATCGATGACGAATCTCAGCAGGTTAGATAGCCCTTGCAGTGCTCACCTGCTGGATCTTTAACTTAACTTCCACGAATTACAGATACTGGCTACCGATTTCGAAATTGGTCACTTCTTGCGCGCCAGAATTATTCCAAAAGCGGTGCTTTACTACACTGGCGACATTGTCGACGATGAGGACGACGAGGATGAGGAGGAGTTTGACGAGAACGAAGAGGACGAGTATGACGACGATGATGCCCCGCCAGCAAAGGGTCCCAAAGGTCCTGGCGGCAACAAGAAACAGTCGCCCAACGACTGCCCGAATCAGTAGGCATCTTAATATATGGCTGGTTTACCGATATAATGTATATACATAATTCAAATTTGATTTGAAATATATTTTTGGTGAATTAAAACTTAACTACAAACGATATGAGCTGAATTCTAATAAACCGCACATGATATTTTCATTCAATTGGCTTTGATTAAGACGTAAATCTTAAGAGAGTAATTAAATGTGTAAAAGTTAATTGTCTATTTAATTTCTAGTCAGCAATCTAAGATGTTTTTTGGACAAGTTGTAGGGGTAATGCAGGCTGGTTGGCACAAAGATTTGTCCAGAGACCTGGTTGTCAAAGTTTTCTTCGTAACCCACTGTGTAGCCATCTGGAATCTTCGCGGCTTTTTGCCAGGTGAAGCACTCCGGCGGTGTGGAGTTAAGGGCGTAGAAGGGATAGTCGAAGGTATTTATGTATATATCAACGCAAAGACCATGACTGCCCAAGTGAAGTTGACTGGCCACCGAAGGCTGTTTTAGACCACAGCTGCCCAGCATAATGTTCCTGTGGCAGGAGTAAACGAAGGTGCCCTTGTCGCGACTCGAGTGGAAGCACTGCACATGTTTTCCGGCCTTCGAGTGATCCACTGCAATGGGATCAAATCCGGGTCCAGCCATATCACATGCTGAAACTCAGAAGTAATTTAGTTGGTCGTAGAAATCATTTTATATACTGACTATCTATGCTTTCGATGATGTGATAAGGCCGTAAAGATCTTCCTACTGCTGAAGCCAGTTGTCCACCAAAGCTAAAGCCAAACATATAGCCTCGCTTCGGGTCAAATCCCTGCTTAAAGAGTGTTAAAATAATGGAAGATATGGCTCCAGTCAGGGTGTCGAAGTTTGTGTATAACCTGTATAAGTTAGGGAATTGAAATTTGAGTTTTTCTTGACCATATTAAATATTTACCTACCGCATATATGAGGAACTAGCCACTACACTATAGTCAATGCATATCACACATCCGCCGCGGTAATAACTAAGCCCTGAAATATTGATCTATTTAAAAAAGGTTCTTTGAATATAAAAAATTACCTTTGCCTTACTGTCAATTAGTGATAAAGCCCATTCGTCCGAGCAACTTTGAATCCAGCCATGTAAAACTATGGCAAACTTGTCGGAAGCTGAGCAACCTGACCCCTTAAGATCATAGGTATCGTCATAAGCTGAAGTTTCCAGAGTTTTGGTGTTGTTCCTATAGAAAATAACTCGCATCGTTTTCTGAGCATCATATTTGATTCTCTGTTGATATGCTTCATAACAAATTTCGAAATAAGGTGATAAAACTACACAATTTCTTTTAAATTCATACCAAAAGTGTCATTTTGTGATTTGGGTGCTTGCTTTTGTCTTAAAATCGCATATTTAAGATTTAGTTTGGAATGGGTTACATTAATTAAAAGTTGAAAGAAGTATATAGTCAAGATTGAGTGAAAAATACTGAGCAATTGCATATTTATCAAGATTGTTTACAGAAAGTGAAAAGGTAATAACAGTACTAACTTTCTAAAAATCTCGTTTAGAAGTCAATGTTGATTTTTTTATAAATCGTTTCAATATTCAAACGATATTTTCAGCAATCGATAATAAATGTTTGGCGCCAAAAAAACGAAAGTTAAATGTATTATTAAATATTGCATTCTTCTTTATTTCCATTTAAATGAATCCGTTTTTCCTATGTAGAACATTTTTCATTGTCATCAAAGTCTAGTGAATTGAGGACATTCACGTCTAGTTCTGGGTCTGCATACTCCAGAATATTAAAGTCATCTCCCATTTCGGAAGTGAGCGACTTGAGTAGATCATCGTCGTCGCCTTCGCCGAGTCCTCCCAGGATGTCACCAAATCCAACGGTCTCCAACTCCACGGCCGAAGAAGTGACCTCCTGCGGCTCGTTCAACTTCACATCCTGCTCCAAGGCCCTGCCTTCAGATGGCTGAGATTTTCCACTAATGCTCAACATTGGATTGTTCTGCGTGATGGGTGTATTTTGCATCATGCCCAGCCGCATGACATCATTGGCTAGGAACAAGTCCGAGTTGGCTCCCATTAGCATTGGTTCTGTGCTATTCTTCTGCAGCAGATTCCTCAGCTTTTTATCCCCAATGGGCTCTGTGCCATATACCGCATTCAACTCCAGCCGATTGTCAACGGGTGTCATTTTGAGAGTAGTGGTTGCTGTCGTATGCACTTGAGTCCTTTGCATCGTAGCCTTAATCACCAAATTGTCGTTCACATTCGGCATCACATGATGCGGGTTGGCGTTATTTGCCGTTGCCTGCGCCGGGCCACCAACATAGTTACCCATATCGTAGGCATTTCCATCTAAAATAAATAGAAAATAAATAAAGTGAAGAGTGACTTTACTGACATTACACTTACTGTACGTGACAAACATGTTCGGTTGGTCTTCCTTCAATTTGGGCTGTTGTTTCCACACTCTTCCCATATCTTCCTGCTTTTGTGGCTTTGGTGGCATAGGTATTTTATTTTGCTCTCGCCTCTGCCGCAAAGCAGAGCGATTATCCTTAGCCTTTTGCAAGAAAGGAGCCTTTTTCTCGTTGCACAGCGAACGCCACCTCTTTAGAATCTGCTTGCAGCGATCATTCCAGTTCGGGAACAACTCTTTTAGGTTCGGATGCTCCGTATTGGCATACAATACTGCCGAAATGGTAGCCATTAGACCAAGGTCTGCAATAAGATATTAATTGAGTATTTAAATCATAGGTATAAAACAATTCCTACCTTCATCCTTTCGCATTTTCTCAGCTGTCTTTTGAGTGCCAGCGTTCAGATTTTCCGTCACGGGTTCGACAACCTTTTGTTCCTCCTCCGGTCTCTTTTCTGTTTGCAAAACTACTTGGCTAATCATAGTTTGCATATTCTGCTTATTGACATTTTGTGCTTTTAAGTGATCCGGCTGTTGGCGGAAATGGAGCTGTTGGCTCGGATTTACTGCAATATTTCCCGGCAAATATAGCTGATTGTGAAACTTTTGATCCTGAGGCAACTGGTTAGGTACCATGTAATTATCGACCAAGACCACAGGTGATTCCCTATAAATAAATATTAATTTTAACTAAGGGAAGACTGGTATTTTGTCAAAACGCTTACCTCATTGGTTTTTCAATAATTTCAGCTGATGTAACCGTATTTACAGAGTTTGGTGTGTCTAGTTCTGGAATATTTGGTGAAGCCAAAGTGTCCAAAGGATGCCTGTTGCCAAAAACAGTGTTAGAAATCTCCGTATGTAAGGGATCTGGAACAAAAATGAAAACCAGTGGTCAATAAAGTCTTAAAACAAGATAAACAAAGGTTAGTTAATTACCAAAAACGTTAGCAACTGGTGTAATGGGGTTTTTGTGCTGCATTCCCATTGGCATTTGCTCAATGAAAACCGTTTTATTCTCAGTTTTCGGCTCAGCTTTGACTTTCTTGAGGGTCTTCGCTGGACTCTTGTGCACCACCGGTGTGTCCTGATTCGCTGGGCTCTTGCCTTCGGGCCGCGTGAAGTACACCTTCATGGAGGCGTCGATTTCGTCAGAGGAGTCTGATTCGGCCATTACAAGCTCGCCGCCTTCCAGCAGAGGTTTTCCGAAGAACGCCTCTTGCAGATACACAGGATAGGCTTCGATAAGTTTGTTCTTCTGCTTTTTTCGTATGATTTTCTTCTTTTTGTCCATGGTCATCATGGAATTTAATTGATCCGCAGCAGTCGTCTCCTCGCTGTCCTTCTTCAGACCTCTATTGCGTACGGAAAAGCCACCTATGCCCAGCTTTTGGAGATTCCGCTGCCGCTTCTTACGCAAGATATGCACGCCCTCGTCATTGGTGGAGATGGTGAAACCCTCCGGAATGGCGTTCTCCGTCCCATCCCAGACCATTCCGTCTTTGTACTTCTCCAGCGCCTCCTCGGCGCCTCCGTCCGCCTGACCATCCTTGCCGTTGCCGATGGGCTGTCGCATCTTGCGCTTTCGTTTGATCTCCGTCGACAGGGACTTGATCATGCCCAATCCGCTCTCGCTTAGGCACACGCCGTCGATCCAATGGATGGCCTCCGGGGCAGCCTCGGGCATGTCGCTGGCCAGGGTGAGATGATTGCGTTCGGATGCACTGCTCTTGGCATCGAAACCCGGCCCCGAGGTGGCTGTGATGTGAACGAATGCTTTGCTCGACTGACCACCAATGGCCAACGAATCCTCCTTGCCCGTCTTGGCATCCGTGAGCGACATTGAGTTCCTCGTGGAGCAGCGGCACTTCAAACACTTGTACACATTATTGTCGTAGTAATCAATGGTCAGCTGGGCGTTGACGGTGTCGCAGAGGAAGTGCGACCAGAGGTCACAGTGCTCGCACTGGATGATCATCTCGCCGTTGGAATACGGGCTCTTGCACACCGGACACGACGACTGGCTGGTGCAGGGCGGGCATTCGAGCATGTTGGAGTCCCCGAACTCGCTCTTCTCGGTGGGATTGCGTCCGCATTTCTGGCACAGTGTGCAAAAGGAGCACTTCCAGTTGCCCGTGGGCACGGTTTCCAGCGGCGGATTCACACAGTAGATGTGGTAGGAGATGTCGCACTCGTCACACAGCAGAAGCCGCGCTTCGTCGTTCTTCTTGCCGCATCCCTCGCACACCGTGCAGTCCAGGCATCGCCAACCCTTCTGCAGGATGCCCCGCGAAGGCTTCACGCCAGCGCAGTACGGATGATAGCATTGGCCGCACTGAGCGCAGGTGATCATCACCGAATCGCTTTCGATGCCCAGCGAGCCGCACATCACGCAGATATCCTGTGCCTGGATAAACTTATCCCTCGCCGAGCAGAGGAGCAGCTTCTTGTCGCTGGTTAGATCAGCCTCCATGTTGCGACTCAGGCAGCGATCGCTTGAGATGCTGGGCAGTGCCAGCTGGCGTCCCTTGCCCCGCGTGCTGCGCTTCTTGTTGATCTGCGACATGACACCCATGCGGTGCAGGACGAATTTCCCGCTCTTTCCGCGCACATTCGAAAGGCACACTTTTTTCTTGCCGGCGGGCAGCTTGTGGAGTTCATCGCTGGATGGATCTATGGTGGGTTTTCCCTCCAGCGGGTCCAGTTCAATTTCCTTGAGGCTCAGTTGCTCTGATGACGAGTCCATGGCGGACAATACGATCGAGTCGATTGCCTGTTGCGATGACCCAGGTCCCGATGAATTGCTCTTGCAGTTCGGACACACGTAATCGTAATCTGGATTCTGCTCCTTTTTCTTGTGGTAAGCCGTTAAGTCCGCTTCCTCGTCACACGTACTGTGCACAAATCTGAGAGGAATCCAAGAAGAATTATCATAGATTCAAAACTAATTAGAAATTAATTACTTGTTGCACCAGCTGCACTTGACCATTTCCTTGTGGGAAGCTGCCCTATATGCCTTTTGGCAAATCGGGCAGGAAAATCCCTTGTTCCGCTGCTGATAGCAGGAGTCGCAGATTGTGTAGTGGCTGTGCCAGCGGGAGGAGCTGCCGCCGCCCGGAGTTCTCGACCCGCAGTCCGTGCACACGCGACAGCGCTGGAACAAGTTATTAATAATTAATAATATTAAATATCCATAATACAGAACCATTATTGGCTTACATTGCACTTCCAGCCGTATTTCGGAATCGCTGAGATAACAGGTCGCAGGCAGGAGGCATGATAGATCTTCTGGCACTGCTCACACTTTACATACTTGGTGTCATTTGAGTCCTGCTGCCTGCAAATCTGGCATTTGGTGCAGCGCGCGCAGTTCCAGCCAGAGCGGGTGTCTAATAAACAAGTAGATATAACTATATAGTCTATATAGTCTCTGGTTAAGCTTACCTGGCAGATTGGCCAGGCCAATGCAGGTTGAATGAAAGTGGTCGCCGCAGGTACTACACATGATCAGCTTGGAGAGATCCCCCAGCGAGGAGCAGGACAGGCACTCCACGTTATTGTCGCTGCCTGCAAGTCAAGCTGTTAGTTTCGGGGATACCCTATGAACTTAATACTTACATATCACAGGCACCTGGCTCAAGTGCTCCGTGCAGAAGACCGTGAAACTCTCCAGGATGAGCAGGCAGCCCGCGGCGGCGGCACACGGGTAGTGGTGCACCTGGCGGCAGTTCATCTTGCAGTTGATGGAGGCCCCGTGGCGCCCGCAGAAGTTGCACTTCTGCTCCAGGAACTCCGCAAAGTGGCTGGCAAAGTACGTGGCGTCCGCGTCGCTGATCTGGCTCTTGCGCAGCGACCACATAATGCACATGCGGTGCACGTAGACGAAGCCCTCGTCGAGGAACTCGGCGGGATGCACCACCTCCGGCTGTCCGATTTTGTCCAGTTCGTAGTGGCACTCGCCGGAGCTCAAGGACGGCTGCTTGGGGCCATAGAACAGCCGCGATCCGTCCTCCCTCAGGCGGTCCACGGGATATTTATCCCTGATCTCAGCGGACGTGGGCGCCTTCAGCTGCAGAATCTCACCCTGGCCCAAGGCACTCTTCTCCCCGAGGTTGCATAAACAGCACACCTTGCTCGGAAACTTCTCCGGGAAGTACGGCAGGTCGTCGGCCGCCGCCTTCTCCTCCATGCTCGCAACAACGTTCGTGCTCATCGTGGGTCGACGCGTTTCATTAAAATAACAAAAAAATAGCCGCCACCGCTTATTTTGTATACATTACTCGGCTGCAGAGGTGGAGATCTATCGATGGCAAAACATCGCTGGCATCGATGTTTGGCAGGGTGTTATCGATGTTTTTTAATTTATTTATTTTCTATTCATAATTAGTATAAATGAGGGACTAAAGACCTAAAAACCTGTAAATGTAATTTCAAATAGTTTGATTAATGCAGGACATTTTTTTTTATATAAAATCTGGAAAAGCTAATAAGTTATCGAACGTCATTAAATTAATGGGATTGTAAAAAAATATCGTTATAATCAGAGTTAAAATTGTCTGAATTTTCCTAAAAAAACATTTTCATTCGAGGAAAATTATCTCGGAATCCCGGAAAATATTGCTGGAAAGTAGTGTGGCCACCTGTCGGAAAACCCAAAAGGACTGCGTTTTCTGTGCGCTTGAGGTATTATGGGCGGGAAAGCAGGGTCTTGAAATAATAACAAAAATTTAATATTTATAGGCCTAAATAAATAATGAGGGATCGCGACCGCCGTGACAGGGATCGTGATCGGGAAAGAGATCGGGAGAGAGACAGAGACCGGGATCGCGACAGACGCCACCGCTCCAAGTCGCCCGTTAGGAGCAGCCGGCAGAGCTCCAAGTCGAAGAAGAAGTCCAAGTCCAAGAAGTCGAAAAAGTACTCCCGCAGGAGTCGCAGCAGCAGTCGCAGCTCCTCGCGCAGTTCCTCCAGCAGCAGGAGCAGTTCCCGGAGCAGGCACAGCAAGAGCAGGAGCAGGGACCAAAACAAATCCCGCTCTGCCTCTCAAAGGACCACCAGGGGTCCCAGTTCCGAGAGCAATTCCCGATCCGGCACCACACCCGTAACTGCCGCCGTGAAGGCCATCGATCTACTGGACACCAAGGTGCAAAAGGCACTGGAGACCATAGACGAGGACACCTTCAAGCCCGCTGCCTTCTTCAGCTCAAGGGATGCAAAAGAGTCGTCCGAAAAGGTCATCATAGACCTGAACAACGAGACGGTCACAGTGCCCAATAAGCCACCCGTTGCCGTGCGAAACGAAGATGTAATATTCCATCCGAACGTGAGTGGGGGTCACCTGTTCCTCTTGCTTATCCTCTAATGATCTCTCTATCCTTACAATCCCCACAGTTCCTCGGCGACCCGGATCTCAAGGCCGAGAAGTGGCTGCGCAAGCTCTACAATTACCGCCAGAAGTACATGCAGGAGTAGTCGAGAGTTCAGACTCTGTATTTAAGAAACAATAAACCTAATTGTCTAGAATATATCGCTGCCCGTCCTGCGGGCGCGCTGCAACGCCTCCGCCGGAGTCAGTTGCTCGTTGGCCGAGGGCTCCTTGGCACTGCCGTCCGCCTGCAGGGTGCCCGCCTTGAAGTCCTCGATGATCTTCTGCGAGTAGACGGCGTTGAACAGGTCCAAGCTGGTGAACTCCGATTGGACGACTTCGGGGGCTTTGTACGACACATAGGGCTTCAGCTTGCAGCCGGTCAGGTCGGGCACTATGATGTCCGGGATCTTCTCGGGGATCTCCACGTACTGCCCGTCCACAGTGATTCCCGTGTCGCGCACTCCGCGCTTGTGAATGGCCACCGGCGGATTGGCCAGCGTTTTCTGGGCCTCCTTCACCACGCGAGTTCCCCGCTTGTTGTACACATTGAATTTGCGGAAGTTCCGCTTGCCCTCCAGTACGGATGAAGTGCTGATGGTCCTCTGCTGGCAGCGGAGTGCCATGGGCGCCAGTTTAATACAATTATTCATTGTTATTTGGCTTTTCGGCGAGGCGAAGTTGTTAAATAACAAATGCGGGAGCGAAACAGCTGTTTGCTGGACTGGAGATGACAGTTCTTTCGATACAAACAAAACCGATAGGAAATGTGGTTAAAATTGTTGAATTTGTTAAAAGAACTTTTATGTTTTTCACATCTTATGGATATATTAAAAAAATTACTTAATAGGTATCAATTTTAAAATCATTCTGTATTCGAGGTCTTACAGTCCATGCTAATTTTATTCTTTGAAAGCTTACCTTTTTTTTTGAGTGTACCAACAATCATCTTCCAAATTTATCGATAAATTTCGCCGCCCGTCAGTGCTTGAAAACACCGTTATATTAATAGAGCCCCAAAACTCTTCGGCTTGTGAATTTGTTTATAAAAATTACTCAGCCGAGTTTGTAATAACAATGTCGTCGCCGGTCGAAGAGGAGGAGTCGGCGGAAAGTGCCGCCAAACACGATTTTATCGAACTGAAGAGCTCGAAGGACTTGGAGTCCTGCGAGCAGCAACAACTGTTGCAGTACGTTGAAAAGCTGCACGGGATTATCCGGAAATACGACACCAAACTGGCGGCCTATAAACAAAAACTTCTTAATTTCGTAAGTCTAGGTATTGTCATTACCCACAGAGGAACCTAATTTAATCCTAACTCACATTTAAAGATGCAACAAGAGCAAAAGACTTCCTGCGACAAGGCCATTCAAATCAATGAAACCGAGCTCCTGGAAAACCAGGATTCCCTGGAAAAAGATGAAGACACCGACAAAAAAGACAAGACCAGCGATTGTGAGTCAAGAGTTTCTTTATTCCACCGAGTCTAGTTATTATTGCTACCCAAGTAGTGAGTTCCTACTTCGTTTTGCTGGCCACCGCGGCCACCAGCGCAGCTCCACGTCCGGATCCGTCCTCCGAGAGCATGATGTCCCACTCCTTGTCCGCCTTCACCAGCTTCTGCAGGGTCTGCCGCATGTAGGCATCGAACTTGGGATGGTACCGGTACACGGACCCATCCATGCCGACTATCACGCGGCGGTTGGAGGTTCTGTTGACCAGGCCACTCACTCCGATGGCCACCAAAGTGGCCGCCCGCTTGGCCACGCACTCGCAGATGTATCTCAGAGTCTGGCAGTCCTCCACCGAGGCCTTCTCCAGGCCGAACAGTTGCTTCACGATCTTCCTGGTGCTGGCGAACTCCGGGAACGAGTCGTCCTCAATCTCTGAGATATAGCGCGTCTCGAAGACCTCCTCGTTCTTGGCCAGCACGCCGGCAAACTCCGGCCGTCGGCTGCTCTGCTTGAAGATCAGCTTGCGCTCGAGGGCGCGCAGCAGGACGAGGCGCACCAGGTTGCCCAGGTACATGCCGGCCGTCATCTTCTCGAACAGCTGCTCCGCCCGGTTGATCGACTTCTCGTCCACCTCGCGATCGTATTCGGTGCGCACAAAGTCCAGCTGGCCGCCCTCGCCGAAGGCCCCCCACTCGGCGTTCACGATTACCTGCCGCTTTGTCCGCTTGAACTCAGCATTTAGCAGGTCCACATTCTCCACATCCTCCACATAACAGGCATTGCAGCCCGTGCCCACGATGACGCCCACCCGGCAGTCGGCATTTCGATGGGCGCAGGACATCAAGGTGCCTGTGGTGTCATTGAGTATGGCCACCACGGCAATATCCGCATCGCCGCGGCGCTGGATCGCCTCGTGCAGCATGCGACCCACATCCTCGCCCTCGACACCGGGACAATCGAAGCCCTTGGTCCAGCGCACCAGGACGCCCTCCTTGAGGCCCAGCTGCACGCAGGGAAAGGAGAAGGTGAAGCCCAAGGGCAGATAGGCGGTCTTCATGTCGTGCTTCTCCACAAACTTGGCCAGGCAGCCGGCGATGTGATCGAACAGCTCCACGCCCGGACCCACCATCAGGTCCTTGGGCACGGCGTAGATCTGGGAATGAACTGTGGCGTCGTGGTGACCCTTCAGCGAGACGAGCAGCACCCGGAAGTTGGTGCCGCCGAGATCCAGGGCCAAATACTTGCCCATCTCGTCGCCCGTCGGCAGATCCTGCACGTACGTGGGAAAGCACTTGACATTGGCCTGCGGATGCGTGGAGCGCTTGAGACCACGGGCCACCTCCAGGCAGAAGCGACTGTACACCTCCTGCACCTGGTAGTCGCTCAGCACAAAGGGTTGCATAAGTTCTCGCACCTCCGCGTCCAGCATTTTGCTTGGCTAATCTTCTGGCTGTCTAAGCTTGTAACCGCCTCGAACGATGAGTAACGACTAACCAGGCGCCTGGCCAGCCCACCGCGATTTGGAACTCGGTGAACTTGGGTGCCTGATAAGAGCCGGGCAGAGACGAGATGCAGTCCGCCAGGCGAGGAAACAACTGCTGCCACTGCAATCTGGGCGCTGCGTAGCAAATTAAAAGCGAAAAACACACCTAAGTAGCTGATCTGCGGATTTCGAATCTGAAACTACAACTGCGCGATATGCTAATCGCTTGCCGCTCGTCAATTGCCGGCAATAGCTCCTGATTTGGCACCCTACAAATTAAAAGTAGCTTTACTCGAAGATTAGCATAAAGAAAAAATTCCATCATTGATCACAGGCAAATTAGCCACTAAGGATCTTGGTCATTAGCTAGAAAATTAATTGTCCGTTATGAAAAGCCCACTGATGTGTAGTTTACACTTCCTGATAATCACCCCATTTTTATTCTATTTTTATTTTTAGAGAGTGGTAAACTTGTAAAAAAAATGCCAAGGCCATTTTTCACTTTTCCATTGAACAGCCATAAACTGTCACTAGCTGCACCGCGCCTCCTGAGCTATCGGAGCGATAATGCCGTTTCAAGGAGCGCATCTTACCCGCTCGGCCCACCCACTTCCCTATCTATTGAGGAGTATTAGTGGGGTCTCAGGTCGAGTAATAAAGCGTGCGTCAAACATCCCGGCCCGCTAATGCCCGAGATTAGCGCCAAAGTGTCGCATGGGCTAACGCCACTGCCGCTGACAAAAGTCTCAACAGCCCTTGACACCACTTTCAATAGAATAGTATTGGAATGATTGCGCAAGATTGCGACCTTAAGCATTGACTATAGAGCAGTGCTTTATAATCTGTACTACCACCAAAAAGTTCGACTTATAGAACACATTTTGCTAATAAAATTAGTTAGTCTTCGAGCTAGAAAAGTTCCAGCTATGGAAGTTCATCTATTCACTCTAATTTATGATTTAAACAAAAATTACATTCCATAAAAGATTACTGTTATAAACATTAATAAGGAAGTAATGTATAGGTAATATAATTTGTTCATAATTAAGAGTGAACAAGTAATAAGGCTGATATGACTTCAGGGACTTCTAATCAGGCAGTAAAGGTTCCAAAATCACCATGTAAAATTGTATTGATGTTCCCTAATATATATTTTTGTTCAATAGTTTTGAAACCTTATCAACAATTATAAAGAAATTATTACATGTCATGTTTACAACCCGTTTATACTTTCAGTATCGGCGACGGACGCATTCAGTTTTGTGGACGAGATGCGACAGGCGGCCAAGCACGCCGAAAACCTAAACAACTTCGTTTACGAGCCGACCTCGGGCATGTACTACGATCCCAAGACGGGCTACTACTATAACGCGGTAAATAGGCTATAAACAGCGGACGTAATCTTTATGACGTTCCGTTCTATTCTATTCCGCGATGCAGCGACTGCACCGCGGTGACTTTCAGGGGTTATCGCGGTGGCGAACCTACATCAATGGCTCGAACTGTTGTTAATGTCAGCCCGCTTTTCTTTTCCCCCTAGGAGTACGGGCTGTACTACGACGGAAACACCGGCTGCTACTACAGCTATGACCACGCAAAGGACTCGTACGAGTTCCACTCGCAGGCGCAGGTTCAGGTGAGTGGGTGGACTCCTCTGACTCTAACCACATTAACCTCCGTTCTTCTCCTCCTCGCTGCGCAGCCTGTGAGCGACTGCGCCTATAGTAGCCTTTTAGCGGGGTTTCACAAACTCAGCATAGACCGAATGCGTAGCAATGCATTAGGTAAGCGGCAAGGTCCAGAATGTGCGATAAAAACGCGGATTTCTTTTCTTCACTCGGTTGCAGGCGAACGAGGCGGCCAAGCCGGAATCGGAGGACGAGCAGGTGGAGTTCGATGAGCTGGGAGGCGTCATCACCGACCCCGACACGCTGAAGAAGATCAAGGCCGAGAAGCAAAAGGCCAAGGATCGTGCTGAGAAGTCGAAGCGCAAGGCCAAGGGGAAAAATAAGAAACACGGCAAGAAGAAACGCAAGAAGGAGCGCCATCACAAGTCCAAGAAGCGGCACAGGGATTCCGATGACGAGCGGGATGGGGATGCCGAGGAGGGCGAGCTGTCGCAAAGTAGTGACTCAAGTTCCGACTCCAGCGACGACGAGGAGAGCAGCGGCATTAGCGACACGGAGGACAGCAGTGTTCCGATCTTTAAGGCTGCCGGGCGCTTTCAAGGTGCTTAAAATATCCGCGTTTTTATCGCGCCAGGAATAGCTTAGTTCAAAACAACTTATTCTTGTCATTTTCCGCAGATATTGCCAAGAAGTATCCACCATCGCTGCGCATTATTGTCCAGGAGACTAATCTGGAGACCTTGAAGGTTGGAAGCCTGCATCTGATCACATACAAAGGTGGATCCTTGGGTCGCGAGGGCTCCCACGATGTCATCATTCCGGACGTGAACGTCAGCAAGGGCCACTTGAAGTTTAACTACGAAGCCAAGTTGGGACTCTACAAGTGCCTTGATCTGGGCTCCCGCAATGGCACCATTCTGAATGGCTCCCCAATGTCCAGCGAAGCCATGGATTTGGTTCACGGTAGTGTCATCACCTTGGGACAGACGAAACTCCTGTGTCACGTGCACGAGGGCAACAGTACCTGTGGCCTGTGTGAGCCGGGTCTGTTGATAGAGACGCCTGCGCCTGTGGTGACCACTGGAAACGCATCTACCGCAACCGTATTATCCCACAAGGAGCAGCTAAAAAAGCTGCAGCGCAAATATGGCCTGGAAAATGAGAGTAAATATCTTTAGGGTGCCTATTATTCCTCTGAAACTCAACTATCCCATCTGAATTTCTAGAATTTGTTGAGTCTGGTGCCAATGGTCAGTCCAATTACAATGATCGCGCCGCCACAAGACGGGTCAAGGTGGGCAGCAGTACCGATAAAGAAAAGACTGAGATCGCTTGTGTGAACACGTGAGTAGCTTTTGTAAACAATTCACCATTAATAGTCGACTAATATCTCATATTTCCTAGTGAGATTGGCAGCTCCAACAAGGGCTTCAAAATGCTCAGCAAACTGGGCTGGCAAAAGGGCGACACTCTGGGCAAGACCAACTCCAGTGCTGGACTTCTGACGCCGGTAAGTATTTACCACAAACTCAGCGAATCCTGCATTGCTCATTCTTTTCCATTTACAGATCAATGTGGTGGGCAATGAAGGCACTAGCGGTCTAGGGAACACTGACCCAGTTACCTCCAGCTCTAGACCTGTGGACAAACGAAAGTTGGCCAACTTAAAGATCACACAGGCTCGATATCAGCGCGCTAGCGATATCTTTGTCCAGTCGGATGATAGTGATTAGAAAGGCATTTGTATTTTAGGTTGGAAACACATTTAATTAACAATTACTCAAACATATTCATAAGTATATTATGTATATATATATGTATGTATATACACATCGGTTCTATATATGTATATATTAATTCAAAAATCTTGCTATAAGGTTAAGCTATCAGTCAATTAATTAATTTAGCTTCGCTTATGAACAAAAAGAATATAGGGAAGGTAATGTTAAATAAATATGACGTCGCGTATGTTGGTCTAAACTAAATGCGAGCGAAATGCGCATATAAACCAATCGATTAAAGTAATTACCGTGTAGCCTATGTTACTGTTAAATACAAAAGCCTCTTAAGATATGTGGTTTCTCTTGCGATACATGCTGGATAAGAATTGCTGCAATACGTAATGTTGTATGGTTGATAATACTTTGCCCTGTATGTAAAATGTATCCGATAATATGTAGTGTAAGCTTGGTTGGCAACAGCCTAAGGCCCATCCACCGATTACAACACGAAAACGCACAACGAGAATCTTTGGATGTTGGAACTACGGACGAACAGGCTACATAATACCCAGGCCAATCCTCTAGCAGCTTCCCTGGGACTTGACGCCAATGAAGTAGCGGGATTCGCAGGAGTGCTTGTGCATCTCGCACCACGAGTTGTATGTATGGTTATTGTAGCCGCATATTTTGTGTGCCTGCCAAACGGAATGATCTCTAATTAAGGGCAAATTTTTTCCAGGAAAAGTCGGCTAAGGACTACTCACCGGTCGCTGCTGCTTCCGCGGACACTTGTAGCGACAGGACACACATCGCGGCTGGCGCGTCTGCAGATCCACCAGGCAGTTATCCTTCGGCCCACACTTGATGTCTGCACAGGTCACGCGGCCCACTGCAATATAAAGTTTACGTTTACGATGAGAGCGCATTAATGACGGCTGCCTGCGGTTAAGTTTCAGCCTTGTTTTATGTCTGGCAATTTCGGTTTAATGGCCCCTGCACACTCGACTGCATATCCTGCCCTCCCTGAGAATCTGGACAGGTGCTGCCGTGATTACAGGATTACGCCAGCTTGGAGCAAACTTTCCAGTTTTTAAGGTTTTAAGTCAATTGTAAACACTTTAGTTGCATTCGGTCGTTTAATAGTCATTAAGGTTCCATTTTGTATTAGTAGGAGTTATTAATAAATTAATTTTATAAACACGATTATAGAACAGACTAAATGCTAGCAATGATTCCTTGGGGATCTGAGTTATATGCTTAGCTAATTACGATAATGGCGCATTGACTTGTGTAAGGATATGTGAGGCTCAGGGATACTAATGCATATTCAAATCTGCTGTCTGCCTCAATTGCAATTTTCTAAGCTGACACATTATTCACACCACGCGGAGTAGTGCAGACATGGCAATACAAAAAACGCACAGAAAAAAATGTCGACCAGATATTAAACTAGAAACAAAATTTATAGATTTATAAAAATTTATATGTAATGAAAAATGTAAAGTATTTAAATGGAAATGATTATAATAAATAATCGAATTATTTTCCTTTCTTAAATCTAACACTCTTTAAGAAACTTTTATATAAAATATATTTATAGAGATAAAGAAAAACATCTCTATAAATATATTTTATTAAATCATATTTTTATCTCTATAAATATATTTTATTAAACATAAGTTTGTTAGATTACATTATTTATTTTTCTATTGTCTCTCAAAATGCGATTTGTTAAAAGATAATTCTGATTTGGTAATCTTTTTTTCTGTGTACAAAGGCTCTTTCCCTTCCCCATTCCAATACCAAAACCCATCTCCATCCACATCCCTATCCCCATCCCCAATTTCATTCCAGCAGAGTGCAATCCGCGTGCGCAAGACGGGTAGCATCTTCGGGCCGGGCCAACATCCGACATCCCAATGGTGCGACTGCCATATAGCCAGTTAGCCAGTCAGCCAGTCGAGTAATAAAGCAGCCAAGCGGTGCGCAGCCGCAGAGCAGAAAAAGCAAGAGCAAAATATATGTGTTTATCGTCAACATGATCTGCGACTTGTGGGCAACATTGTTGCACAGAGCCCCCGGGTATTGTTGATCGCAATTGCAATGGAGGTGAAGGTGGAGCCAAAAGGGAGGTGGATGGGCTGGGCTGGGCTGTCTGGATGTCTGGGTGTCTGGAACTTCATCTGCATCCCCGGGAGACGACGGTGCGTGAAAGTCCGCCGTCTAGCAATTCGTAACAGTTAAAGTTTATTAATTTCAACTGCCAATTTAGCTTTAGGCAGATACGTCCTTTGTGCGATCGCTCCCCGCACTTGTTGATTGTGATGGATGTGGCAGTGGTCTGGAGTGGCCTCCAGTTGCCTCCAGTGGCCTCCAGAGCGGGAGCTGCATCGCTGGTTATGGCTGATAATGCCGTCACAAGGCGAGCCAACTATAATTTGTTATGTCGACGTGGTTTAATCAACGCCGGCGGCCGTTGGCGGAACTTATTGCAACATTGTGTGGATGGGATGGTTGGAATGGAATGGGATGGGATCATATAGGATGGGAGGGGATGGGCTGGTTTTGTGGATGGGATGCGTCGTGGGTCATGTGTCTGGCCAGGGTATATGCGTGTTCCCATTCAGGCCAGGCCGACTGGCCATTTTGGCATTGCGTGTTGTTTAAGGTGATTTTAATACGATCGTAAACTACAGCCGGCCCAGAGCAAGAGGAAGAAGAGCCAGACGCTCGTCCAGACAAAAGTGACGTCGCGACGACGTGGACAGTTGGACGGCTGGACAGCTGGACACCCCAGACCGGACTTTATACCATTCGGTTCGGGACCCCTCAATCCACTTCTCGAGAGAGTTGCAATCACAGAACCTGCGTCGCCGCAGAGCGTTGCGAAAATGGCGTTTTAATGGTTTGTACGTGTAGTCATATTTCTTGGGGCCAACGGCAACTTTTCGTGGCTTGTGCCGGGTTCTTGGGCTCTTGCGCTCTTGCGCTCTTGGGTCCCCCAACTCCGTAATACCCCCAGACAGAGTTTTTTCAGGCCTGAGCCCGGATCGCGACTGAAAATATTTATGTGAAATCAGACAAACAAACAAATGCCCGAGAACCATAAACTTACTAACCATGAAGATAAAAGGCTCAGGAAACCAACACACGCGCACGCTAGCATTATCTTATCGGCAGACGATCCACGTAACATAACGAGTACCAGACGCACATTAAGCAGCAGGAAGGAAAAGGAACCAGAACCCAGGAAAGCGGAAGGAGTACCAGGGGGAGCTGAGCCGGACGAAGATCCCAGATCAACAAACTGCAGGGTCTCACGCACACTTGTTTTTAAGCTTTGAGATACGACTGATGGCGTGGCTGGGTTAAAAGCAAGAGTGAATAGTAGCTAATGATCTTTATATAGATCCCGGCTACCGGTAAAAGGGTTTACGAAGATAGACGGACGACCAGTGAGTGAAATGAACCAAATTGCAACTATAATATAATAGTAGGCTGGGATAAACAAGTCTTAAAACGTCAGGTTTTATATAGCTTACGTATTCCATTTGTTCTCATTGTGATCTGAGGTCTTATAGAAGTAACATCAAAATTATTTTAAAACAATTCCTACAGTTTAACACGTTTTTTACCTTTTAGAAGTAACATCAAAATATTTATAAACAGTACCTACAGTTTAACACGCTTTTTTAACAAACTTTTTTACCTGGAATAAAAATCTTGCCAAAATCTTTTTTTGTGCATATGTAAAATGTATGAAAAATGATTGTTTTTATGCAAACGGATTTTTTAAAGAAGTTGTCAAGATCTCGGATATTTTAACTTTGATTTTTTTTAAATATACCAACATTTTTTTTTAGTAAACTTAAAGAACTAGATGTTTTGCAAACGTTTTAAAAATAAAAAAATATCTCAATGAACACAAAATGAAAATAAGATATATTAAGAAACCTGGAAATTTGGAGGAATTTAAGGATTCTCCAAAAATAATGTGTGTATCAAGAATGATATAAACAATGATTATGGATATTCAAAGGATTTTTTTGTTTTGGAGAAAAAACCAGTGCAATTGATTTTTTACAATTAAAGCCAACTCAAACTATCTGGATCTCAAAAAATATATCGTTTGTATTTGTATTTTGTTTGTATTTTTTCAGGTTTACCTGTGCTGCATGGAAATGTATAAAATTAAAAGGTACGGTATCAAATCGAAAAGAGGTTGAAAAATGAAGTAACGTGTACGGCCAGCAACAACTCATTATGAAAATTGAGGACGACTAAGCTACAATATTGATAAATAATAATACCAAACAGAATGACCGGAGTGAGGGGATTTTTGTCAACGGCAGCTGCTGTTGGTGCCGGATTGACAGCTTTTGTTTTCGCATTAACTACAAGCTGTAATTTGCAGCAAAACACTGCAATTAACAGGCAATTGCAGCACAGCAGCCCTCTTTTGTCTTCAGCCCCCATGGCACACTAAACTAGTTTAGTCCGTCCGTCCCCGTCGCCCCCTTCCGATCAGAGGTTCTCGAGTTCCTCTCCGGATTTGGTGCGACTGCGGAACGCCCTCCACGCCTTTTCCAGCACCACTGATTGCCGCACAGGAAGAAAAAGTTTGATCTATGCCAAAAGTTTTATAAGAAGTTACATTTTGGATGTTTTATGGTTTTGGAATAGCAATAGCACTTATTGACACACAGAACTATGAATTCAGTATGTAAAATTTCTTTTCTTCAAATTTCCAATATAAGTACTATAAGTATATTAAATAATGGATCAATAATTTTTTATTCTGTAGAAGACAAATATTGGTATAAATGATCCGTTCTGTTATGAAATATTGATTTATAGAAAAATGGGTTCTACAATTGCAGGGTCTTGGTATAAAGGATCGTTTCAATTAAATTGATATTTAATTTACTAAAGACAAAACTTTATAGGTATGATAAAGAACACATTGATTTAATTCTCAAAAACAAAAATGATATTGCGATTTTATTAGGAATTGTGGGATATTATTGACCAAGTTCAACAGATTCATAGTTTCCAATATCGGTATTTAACGTATTATATAATAGATGTAATTTAATAATTTTTTTTCTGCGGAAGACAAGTATTAGTATAAATGATTCCTAATGTTTTCTAATATTGCTCTATAAACTAATTTGTTCGAGAGAATGAGTGTACTACAAATATGTCCAAGGACCTTGGTATACAATTTAATTTGCTGAAGATTACAACTTTTTAGGTATGATAAAGAATAAAGTGATCACTCAATACTGTCTAGTTCTCAAAAATGAAAATGTTAATGCGATTTGTTTAATAATTGTGGAATATTATTGACCAAGCTTAACAGATTCAATGGGAAATGTAAATGAAATGCATATAAAATACTTAATTCGTCTAATATTAATGAAATTATAAATAACCAATATTTAAAATGAAATATATTTCTTTTTTTTTAACAAACTTTAAAACATTGAAATAATGAAACAAAACTAAACTCTTTTATTATAATGAATGAACACTATGCCACATTTATGAGAATACATGACTTCTACATCACCACGGTCTTCAAATCTCTTGCAATTTAATATTTTTTTGAGCTTAAATACATATGAAATGTAAAGCAATTATAGAAGGGTATGCCTTTATGGACCGTTGATGCTGATAAGGAATATAAACATAAAGATTTCAATTATGTAACAATAAATAATGATAGGAAGAATGAACTTTTTAGTTAAAACTACGATCATTGGAGCACTGAATGAATTAATTTTTTGCGGTGCACTCTCTGTCGTGGGCCGACTCTGGGCATTATAATTAATTGGAAATCGGAGTCGATCAATCGGATGGCAACCGCAAAATTAATAAGCATGAATGATGCCGACGACGCGAGTGTTCGCTGTAATTGTGGATGCACCCGTACTCGTACTCGTAGTCAAAGTGGAGCAGACCAGGCCAACCAGAGCTGACGGGCTAATCAAATTGCTGGCAATCATGGAGCCGTATAAGCAAATGTAGCAATTTCAGTCAAACACCGAGAGAGCCGGCAACTTGATATGGTACATGGCATAGCATAGTATATGGCCAAGATGCAGACAGCAAACAACCACTTGTGGCTGTGACGCGATTCGATTCGACTTAACTTAACTGAAACTTAACCGAACTGAACTCAACTTGGGCTGGCTGGAAACCTCAGTCGAGTCAATCAAATGCAAAATTGCGGTTCCTTGTTGATTGTTGTTAAATTCGCACAGCAACAATTTGCATTCGCCGACTGCAACTAGGCTTTCCTTGCCAATTAATTTGATTGATTCTCGCAGTCTGCATTCTCCGCCCAAAATACATACCTCGGCAGGGTCCCGGATATGCCACTGCGATGGAACGTCCAATTTTGCAAATCATTCGATTTATATCACAAGCACTCCTGTATGTCTTGCCATCCACGCCGCACACCGAACTGGAGTCTGTATCCTGGTTATCCGAGGGACACTCGATCCTGCAGGCGATGCAGTGCGGCATCATGTACTGATCCTCCACACAGGTCAAGCCCTTCAGGCACTGGACGCCACTGCAGCTGTCTGGGAAGAAGGATTGAAAATAACACTTATAAGCAAAATCAATTCATATCATATTGTATATCGTGGATATTTAAATATTCAGAGGAGACACCCAGAAATATATATGTAAAACCTTTAGGTTATTTCTTATAGCTCATTTCACTTAAGATTCTTTTGTATTAAACACCATATCTTAATGAAAGCCTATATAAATTGTATATATAAGTAAGATTGGAAAAGGAATAACATATTGTATATCGTGGATATTTAAATAATCAGAGAAGGCAATCACAAATATATATGTAAAACCTTGGTTATTTCTTATAACTCTTTCACTTTCTATTCTATTGTATTAAACACCATGTCTTATGTTAAACCTGTATAAATTGTTTTCAATGTAAACATTTTTGCATTTTTCATTGCTCACGTTATTAAATCTTATTGATTAGGCAAAAATATTGATATTTTTCTAATTTGTGGTGACTACAATTTTGAGCCCTCTTGATTGACTATCCCAAAAAATGTCAGCTAATCACGCCAACATGTTGCACCTTGCAACTATGTTTTTGGCATTAACGAATGCTCTTCTCATAAAGGCACTGATTGTGCCTATAAATAAGTAGTTGGCCAATGTCTAAGTTTAGCCCGTACCCCCACTCTCGTACAGTCGGAACTCTCGGATATATATGCGCTTATATGGCCGGCAATAAACTGTCGAAATTTATCAGGGGAAAATGCGAAAACGCGAAACGCCTTGGCGCCAACTGTGACACTCGCGAAATATTGCAATCATTTTTCCGCTCGCAATTGAATGCGAATGAGTGGTCGCCGCAGATCGCCATCGGAATTGCCGATTGGGCATTCCATTGGATATATGAATATATTGGCACGCGCCAACGTTAGATTGCTGGAATTGCAGTTGCCTGTTGCTGTTGTTGCTGCTGCTGCCACTGCCGGTTATGTGTTGCAAGTTGCTAGTTGCAGGAGCAGCAGCAACAGCAACACCGGCAACAGAATGTCGTGTGCTTGCGGCTAATCCAACAAGTTCTTTGGGTTCCTGGCTCATCGTTCTTGTACGCCGTTTTTATTGATCATTTGAGCATGTTTGCGAGTGCTTCCTGTATCATTAAATTATTACACAACATTTCTGGCCGAAGTCTGGCTGGTTGGCCAGTTGATTTCACCACTGGCGACAAGTTGTTGGCCGTAATTGAAATGTGCAATAATTTGTCATCTAATCTAATTGTGGCGCTGCTGCGTTTTGGCACGCGAGCAACCCAGTCCACCTACACTCGCAAAAATCAAGGATATATTTGTCACATTAAAGGAGAGGAATATAATTAATATCATATACTACGGATTGCTCATCACCCTTAGTATTCCTTTTAAAAATACCTATTTTCAACTCTAGAAATTCTGTTACCTATTAAAAATTCCTATTTTCAACTCTAGAAATTCTGTTACGTTTGACAATAAATTCTTGGACAAGTTTAGTAGGTATATATGGTAAAACTTAAGCTATAAGAGTTTTAAAATTTGTTTTCAGATATATATTTATATTTGGTTCATATATTTCTTGCACGATTTGTTCGGAGTGCAGTGGTCATAGCATATGGTTTGTGGTAAATGGTAGATGGTAAATGGTACTGGTGGACTCAGACTCACTCTTGCAGTGGCCCCGATAGGCGACCTCCAGTTGGGCTTTGTTGGTGCGGCAGGCGCGCTTGCGCAGCTGGCACTCGGTGTTGTAGGTGCGTCCGTCGGAGCCGCAAACCGGATTCGAGTGCGGCTGCTGCTGGTTGGAAAAAAACAAATTTAGCCCCGAGGAGTAGGCAATGGTCAGTGGATGCTCGGAGCTCCAGGGGAGATACTCACCAGCGGCAGGGGCTCGTAGATTCCGCCCAGAAGAGCCAAGTCATGGGCATTAGCGAGGTCCGATGACGCAGCCGTTTCACTTCCGCGTTGCAGCTGAAAGATCCGACGATGATTCGACGATCCGGGGCCAGACAATGAGGTATTCGCCGACCGGGCTTCTGTATCCAGCCTCCTCCTATGCCCATTGTCTGGATTTGGAGCATGCTGGATGCGTCTGGCACTGGCATGCTGGTGTCTGACTCGAGTCGACTGTCTATTAATGTCGTTGGCGGGTTCATTAGCATTTGCCAAGTTGCGTCTAGACTGAGACTGAGACTCAGACTCAGCCAAGATTGAGTCTGCATCTGCATCTGCGACTGCACCAGGCGACTGCGCAGGCGTCTTGTCTGGAACAGCCGCGGATGAGGAGTCATTGGCTCCTGTCGTCATTGATCTTGTTAAGTGCCTGCCATTGCCGTTTCCATGGCTGTTTCTGTGCCTGCGCCTCTCATAGCCCGTCATCTCCACCCGACCCCTTCTCATCTGGCCATTGGTGGGCAGAGACTGGGACCGAGGCAAATTGCTGCTGTCTATGATCAAAAGTCTCCGGTGCTGCTTTCTTTGGTTATCATTGGCACGTTGGCGTTGGCCGCCGCCGTCTAAACCTAAATTGAAGTTGGAATTTTCGCTACTTAGACTACGGGACTCGCGGGGAGGCTTCACCATGTCCTGATCCCGATCCTGATCCTGATCCTGCGTCCTGCGTCGCAGAGCTGCCCCACATTCGGGGGCACAGACGCACTTCGGACGACCCTTTCGCTTTACGCACTTCTTGTTGGGCCCGCACTTGAAGCCCTTGCAGCTCTCTGGGAAATGGTGAAAAGTGAGGATTAAGTTGGTATTGCTAGATCCTGGATCATAGATAACTCACCCATGCAGGGCGAACACTCCACCCCGCCGCCAATGGCCGTCGCAAAGAAGTACTCTACGCTGCTCAACTCGCGATCCGTGTAGGAAAAGCTCTGGCTGGCTCCGCAGCACTCCGACCTCGAGATGTTCGTCGAGAAGACCTGGCCGCACTTCCCGCTGCCGAGGTGCGTCTGCCAACAGGTGCCAGCTGGAGGGGATTGGGAATTACATAAATGAACTGATCATTAAAGGGTTCTTGAGCGATGTGAATGCTATTCATAACTAACTTTGACCGAAAATAGAAAATTATCTCTTTAAAAGGATTTTAACACGAAAGCGCTATCTTCAATGTATTTATGGTGCCACTATTTATTTATTCATTCATTCACTATTTCATTATTTAAATATTATAATTCTATAATTCACATAACTTTAAGCACTGATACCAAATATAGCCTCATATTCTTGAAATCTTTGCTTAAACTGTTTATTTGTTGCCGGAAAAAATTATCATAACTAAATTTTAAATGTCTGGTTATAAAACCACTATGTGTATTATTCAAATAATTGATACATTTTTAAAAACTTACTAAAATAATAAAAAAAAATAATTAAATAAAATCAATTAAATTCAAAGCTCTTTCTTCCTTGTAATGAATCACGTATACCATTTCGAAATCAGCAAGAGTAAGCACTTTTTGTAACAGCTTAGATTTTACCTTAATTTATGTAAAAAACCTGAAAGCCTCAACAAAAAAAGGTGTTAAATTAAAATGGTGTTTCCTTAAGCTAACCGGAAGTAAACAGTTCGAGTTCCCCTTTCGCAGTGGTCAAATTACGTGCAGGTATTTTACAGAGCAAAACAAAAATTATTTGTTTACTTCCAAGATTCAGCGGATTCAGGAATGCGATGTGCCGGCTGCTAATCGAAATCGCAAATATTGCTGTGTGCTGTGCGAGTTCGCGGTGTTTTTGCCCCTTTTTTTCTGCATTTTGATCTTCTGCTTGTTGTGATCGAATCGTTTTGGCAGAGCCAAGCAGATTTTTGGATCTGCTGGATAAACAAACAGCGAAGCAGCAGGGCGTTGAGAAATTGCGTCACATTCAAATATAATGTGACACATTTATCGAGGCGAATGAACTGAATCGAGGATTGAGATGTGCTCGAAAAGATATGCTAACCGAATGCAGGCGCCACGACAGATTTGGATTTCTAGAGAAATTTAGATGCATCATGCAGTCAACTAACTACTTACCCGCCGCCAGGCGAAAATTCAGTAGCAGCAATCCAATTAACAGAGCCATCAAAGGCTGTCCAACCAACTGATGGCCAGAAGTTGCTGCTGCTCCCGGTGTTGCTGCTGTGTCGGCCGATGTTGCTGCGGTGCCGGTGGATGTTGCTGCTGGGCCTGCTGGTGTTGCTCTCGTGCAGCGCATGCTTTTCATTGGACTAGAACTGGCCGAGTGTTCGTGTTGCTGCTGGTGTTGCCGATGTTGCTGTTTCTGCTGTTGGTGTTGTTGCTGTTCACGTGCCATTGACACCTCCTCGTCAGAGCAATTGACGTCACGGCCATGGCCAATACGGCGATCTTCATCGTCATCCTGCCGGCAGCAATAGCAATTGGCCAACTCTTGCAAAACGCTCCATGCGCTTACTATAAATAAACTTAGAATTGTTCTACATTCGTGGCTAGTTGCTCTTGCCAATTGTGTTGATGTTGCTGCTGTTTTTGCTGACGTCTTTGACATTGTTGTTCCTAATTGGTTGGGCTTTGGTGTCGCCGGAAGTGCGCGAGTGGCGGTCATCATCTCTCTGCGCTTGAATTTGTAATTCGATTTTAGAAATGTCAAATTGTTTTGGCTGCTCGTCGGCTGATGGTTTTGATGAGGCATGACAACGGCTAGTGCTGTGGATCGAGAAGAAGCAAGAGGGGATGGCAAAGGCACTCGAGTAACAGGTAACAGCTAAAGGTAAGGGTAACTGGATGGTAAGGATGGATTCAATTAGACAAAGCAGCACACTGCCACTCCAGCGAGTATGGAGATGGGTATGTGTATGGAGCCTCGAGTGGAGTGGCACGCCAGCAACATGATGCAACCGGCGGCAACGGCAACGGCAACGGCAACAGCAGCAACAGTCAAGCACCAAGAATGCTTTGCGCAAAAACGACGGCCAAGAGGCAACAATTAAGTCTCAAACGTTGAGTTGACATTGAGCAGGCGGTTTTCAAAATGCGACTACTAAAAATAAAGAACCTGTTGCTGCTGCTGCCGCTGTGTTGTAGGTTTGGCGCATTATGCACCGTCTGTCTGGCTCCATACACGCAGAGAAATTGGGGAAATAATTAATTTTCGGAAGTTATAAATTAGATTTACTATAGAGGTTTTACCAGATAGATGTAACTTACTAAGAAATGTCCTCCGAAAAATGAATAGATTTTTGTATTAATTAATTTTTTAAAATGTTACAAAATGTTCCTACAAAAGGCTCCAGAATACACATTTTTCTTAACCCATTGCCTTAACAAATCAATAGACTTTCCTTACAGTGCATCTTCCTTCCCTCTGCAAGCTTCGTTTTTTTGCCTGTCTGTCTGTTTATCCGTCTGTTTGTTTGTTGGTTTGCCTGTTTGTTCGGCTGGTTGTTTGTGACTTGCAGTTTGGCGCGCTAGTTTGGCATTTGTTTTATTTTTGCTGTTGTCTGTCGTCGTCATGACTTTAAGGACGTGCTTAAGCCGAAGACAACATATGCAGACGGAAAAGAACAGACTGAACGTGACTCGAGTGCGGCTTGGCTGGAGTATCCTAATTTGGCCAACTCGGCGAACGTCCTTGAGGCGACTGCACCTCAACTGCCCCCACCCGTGCGCCCTATTCAATTAGCCCACTTCAGCTGGGGACCCCGCTTCCAGTCACTTATTGAATGTTCAGCTGCTGTTGCAAATGCAAGACCCTCCTCATCCCCTTCCCATCGGCCATTAATGACCTACTGGGGTTCAGGTTCGAGTTCAAGTCCCTGGTCCGGTCGAAAAGTTATTGCGTTAACACGCGTTGCGACATTTTTTTTATATGGCCGACTGCAATTTCGTCGACTTCTCCGCATCCGGCGGTTGTCCAGTGTCCATCGTCCAGTTGTCCACTTGGCGCGCCAGACGATGTCTGCACTCACACAGGAAAAATATAAAAAAAATAACACACGCACTTGCCACGGAGCCCGCGATTGTCGACTGGGGTTTGGGGATTGCAGATTGCGGATTGGGCACTGCAGTTGCACTGCAGTTGCATCTGTGCTGTTGCTCGAGCTGCATTCCTGCAACCAGGCTATTTTTAGACCCCGGGCAGTCAATGGGTTTTTATAACCTTTGCAGACGGTATCGCAAATAACTTGGTTACGACTAATGTAACGGACTAATACTAATCCATTCGAACAAGCGAATATCCCCCAATTGCACCGAAAAAAACACAATGACAGAATTTAGACCAATGTGGAATACTATTTATAATATGATATGGTATTTATTAAATGCAGGGCTCTAGTATTTAATAAGAATCATATAATTTGGCTTAAATAGAAAATGTATTTTATTTAGAATTTATTAAAGCTTGCATAATCTCAGGAATGGGTAAAATATTTATGCGTGCTTACAGAACAATAACTGATAAGAAGAGTAGGAAGATGAATCATGTTTCAAAAATGTTCTTCGTGATTTTTAAAAAAAAGATTTTTAAAGTAATTTCCAATCAAAACGAGAGAAGTTTTTTAGTTTTTCCTACTTAAGCTATTCTTTTTCTGCCAGTGCGGTGAAAGTGTTTGTGGGATGGTGTTTTGCCATACCTAGATAAAGAGCTGCAGATCTCCGCACCGATCTCGAGCGATCCGCTAAGGACTTTCCTCTGGCTGACTGGCGAGCCCATCGGCTTTTACTGTACCCAAAGTTTCGTACCCAAATGCCTCGAATTCCTTGATGCTCGCTGAAATGTCTTTTGGGCACAGCCGCAAATAACAAATGAGAAGTAAGAAATAACAAAGAGTACAGGAGCAGCACTCCAGTGCGAAAAAATGCAAGGAGCGCCAAGTCTGAGCAGCAACAAGGCACAAAATGCATTCTCCCCGGCAACTGCATTGCCAAACTCAGGGTCCACACACACACACACACACGCGGGGAGAAACTAACACAGCTGAAGGAACATACAGTCGGGGGCCTTATATATACACCATATCCATACCATATAGCTACGGCGAATGCCTTCTTCTTCCTCCTCGAGAGATGCAGTTTGACCGTTGGCCGCCGCTTCAAAAGACCTGTTTTTATGTTTTTGGGCATTTATTCTGGATTTTCGCAAAATGTGTTTTTTTTTCTCTCCAGAGCATTTTCGTTTGTATTGAATTGCATCTTCTGCTGCGCTGATCCTGGACTCTTTCCGCAGCTACTGCTGCTGCTGCTGCACTTCAACAACAAGTGCATAATTTCAACCTCAAGCCCCGAAAAACTTGCATCAAAGGTGGTGCTAAATTTCACTGCGGTTCTCTCAGGTATTCCACCATAAGCAACTTGGACCGCCTTCAGTTACATTTGCGTATTAGATTGAGCCGCTCCCAGGCCAACCCAGTACCCAATCCCCAGAAGCAGCTAAGGTCCCAGTGCGTATCATATTATATCATATTATGCCCAAAAAGCACGTGCTGTGTCCCATTGTCCGGCCCAGAAAACCGATCCCCCAGACGGCGGCCCAGAATCAGAATATTTCAGAAAAACAGATAGAGTTGCCAAACAAACAAATCGCGGAAAGAAGCAATCCCGTCCTGAGAATTTCGTAGATAAATAATGGAGTTGCGCAGAGAAAAAAAATATTAAGTAACTATAAAGGGACTACCTTTTCTTTTCTTTTTACGTCTATTAGTTCTAATAAGTTTAATTTTAAATGCAGATAACTAAGATTTGTTTGCTATTTTCGTATGAAAAGCACAGTTTTGTATTTATATTTCCTACACAGAGAAAAAAAGGCCAAAAATAATCATTCATCGGGTATTTTTTCATATCAATTTTGGTCCCATCTGTTTTCATATCAAAATGATATTTCCGAACATATGATTTTGTACCATATTGATATGAAAACATAACATTTTGTTATGGAAAAATTGATAAGAAACAATATCAGTTCCATATTGTTCCGTTTTTTTCTCTGTGTACACTTGGGGTACTAAAAAAGAATAAGAAAATTAACTTAAGCTTTAGTGAAGTCATAAAAATCCCTCGGCTTATTGTAACCGATTTTTTAGAGCTTTATGCGTTTAGTTCTATAACTTACTGGCACATTTTGATTCGGGTCTTAAATTCAGAAAGGCTAAATACGAAATGTTATTCAATGTATCTTTGAACAACCTTTAAAAGCAAATACATCACAAATGGAAATCATCGGAATAATAATCACTTTTCGCATCCGATTTCTTCCTGTGTGGCTTAGTTTCCATTCTACGTTCGCCTGGACTCGAACTCGCAATCCCGCAATCCAGTCACCGACCGACTTTGAGCTCCATTCAGGCCGATTGCGATTGCGCAATACCGATCGGTAGATCGCGAATGCCGCAGACCCGGCTCCAAAAGCTATTTTTAGCATTTTAGCGCTGTCCGTTCTGCGGAACCCTGTGGGTCGCCGTCGCCCAACTCTTTATAACTGTGCTGCGGTGTGTGGTTCAAATCGCTTGAAAAAAGGGTCAACGTATTTGGTTTCACACGTAACAAGCGGCCCAAATCGAAATCGATCGAAAGGAGGGGGTGATGGGTTTCTAAGGAAACAGTTTGTCATTCGCCAACAACAGGAAATTCCTTTCGGCAAACTCATCAGCCAAAGTAAACTGTGCGTCTCCGTTTTGGCGCGAGATTAATGACACTTGGACAGCGGCCCCGCCCCCTCCGACGCCTCCGCCCACTGGGGCATTTGCATATGACAACAGCAGCAGCCGCAGCAGAAGCTTCGTTGTTTGTTATGCAAGCAGTAAATTTTCAATAAATATACATAAGCCAACAAACAAATCAAATCAAACCGACAGTGGCTGTATCATCAGCGGCAGAAGGCAGCAGCATCGCAAGAGCAGACAGCTGGACTGCCTGCACAGGAAGAAAAGTAACTAGATATCAAATACCACTTGGGTTAAATATAGTGAATTATGACAAAGCAATATTTAATCTTGGTTCTAGTTCTTAAGCTTAAAAAAACTCTACAACCTCCGAAAAATAAATGCAAACCGTCTAGGATTTAAAAATGTTTCTGAAATCCAATGAACTTTTATATTTTCTGAGCCTAATTCATAAATTGTACTATTTTAGTACCAGCATGAACAAATTCAAAATATCCTTAGAAAAAAATATGCTCATAATTAATCAAATTGATCATCAATTTCATAGTCGGATTATATGCATTGATAACAAAAACGTCGTAAATCCAATTAAAATATTTTTAGCTTTTTAGTGGCGGGAAATATTTAATAAATAAATTAAGACCCTGATTCAAATATTTTTAAATTCAATAATGTTATTCAAATTTTTTTTACTAAATATTTCGGTTTTGTGTTTAATTGAAATGTTTACTAAGAATCATTGAATTTAAGACCCTGATTCAAATATTTTTAAATTCAATAATGTTATTCAAATTTTTTTTACTAAATATTTCGGTTTTGTGTTTAATTGAAATGTTTACTAAGAATCATTGAATTTAAGACCCTGATTCAAATATTTTTAAATTCAATAATGTTATTCAAATTTTTTTTACTAAATATTTCGGTTTTGTGTTTAGTTGAAATGTTTACTAAGAATCATTGAATTTAAGACCCTAATTCAAATATTTTCAAATTAAATTAAAATATTTACTACGAATCATTGCATTCACTAAGCAGATATTTATCTAAACTTATTCACTTTTTTTAAGTATTCATATTCAAATTAATAATAAACATAAATATAAGAAACCGACGTCTAGTCACATACTTTTCTTTCTGTGTGATATTGTTGTTTTTGCTCCGCGCGGAGGCTCGTCTGATAAACACAGACGTATAGACACTCGCTGACCGCCGATCCGTAGGCTGCGACAGCTAAATGTTTGCTTTTGCCAGCGCTCGAATGCCACGCGTTGCACATACGCAGCGTTGGCCGAAAAGAGGGGGAAAACGCTTGACACTCGAAACTGTTTGTAGTTGTTTCGCTTAGAGGCAACGCCTCGACGGCTCATTAGCAGCCGCCGGATTCAGAAATGTCCAAAAGTAAACAGGAAATCTGCAGGATGGCCGGGATAAGGGCGCGCGCGCTTTTTAAATTATTTGCTTATGCTACGAGTTGTTGTCTGCAGACTCGGAATCAGAATCAGATCTTATTCTGATTCCGATTTTGATTCTCAAGCTGAATCTGAATCTGAATCTAAGGATGGAGCTGCGAGACTCAGCAAACCGCAAATAAAAACAAATATCGGCTCACATGAAATCCGAGCTGTTATTGAGTCTTTCGATCGCCCTTTGTTGACAACTATGCAAGAATTTTGTTATTGTCTGAGATGGGCAAATGGTACGTGGAAAAATTTGTCTGCCGCGTCTGGGTTTGAATGAAAATGAAACAAAATATCCGGAGATGATAGCCGTCTGTCTGGGGTGAGGATTTGAGAAAAGCTTAGCTAGTTTTAATTATGAACTCACCTTTTTAACTGTCCCTCGCAGCGATGTTTTTGTTTTAGAAATAACTTTCGCACTTAGACGTGTTTGTTTGCCAATAAATTAGCAGCCAACAGGCACAGAGTATGTGTAAATATAGCGACACTTTTAGGTATTACAGGAAATCAAGCTTAAAAACCCAAAAAAATAAAAATATTTTCTGCACAAATGAAAACAAAATTAAAAGCTGCCAACTGGCGATCGCACTTTTTCCCCTCCACACTTATTGCTGAGTCTTCGAATTTCAACACTTTCGGACCGGCTGTATTTACATTTACATTTCCATTTCCCCGATTTTCTTTTATGTTCTGCTCTGGAATCGCGAATTTGGACGACACAGCACTAGTTTTTACTGGGCACCGAGACGTGCGCTCCATCTGATGGTCGAATTGAAATTGAGAAATTGAAAAATTGAAACGAACTTCTTGCAATCAAGACGTAGCGAAATAACGTAACCAAATAACGTAAGGTGCAATCAAAACGTAAAGTGCCAAAAGAGAGCGCAAAAGAGCGAGAGAGTCTGGTCGAGTGCCGACTGAGTTTGGAAAAGTTCTCATTTAGGTAAGAAAAGAGGCAGCAGGTATGGTAAGACACCCACCCATACTCATGCAAAGCGCCGCACCATGGGGCAAACTGCAATAAACTGTGGCATTTTTGATGCAATTTTCTTAAAATAAAGCAACCAGAAATAAACTGATTTTAAGGAAATACGTTGGGTAAAAATTTCAAGAAAATTTAAATGTTTTCTTAACTTTTTTTTAAAAAACTAAACTTAAACAAGAAAGGCAGTTAACTTCGGCCAGCCGAAGTTTATATACCCTTGCAGGTATACCTACTTAAAATGACTGAAATTATAACACCCTCTGCAAGGGTATAAAAAAAAACAAAATGTTGTTTAAGAGTTATGAATTAAAATGTATTTTGATAAAACAAATTAGAATTAAATATGAAAAAGAGAAATCACAACAAGTTTTCTTGAAAAAAAAATATATAAAGTATTTGAACCAGTTGACTTTGATTAGCACGCAGAGGAAATACATTCCACTGTGGTAGAGTCAGCAACAAAACTTAATTTGTAATTTTAGGAAGAGCCCCTAAGCAGCTCCTCGTTGTTTTTTATTTCACTTGGATTTTCTGGAACAAAACGATTTCTGTAAATTTAGGTTTTGGTTACCTTACAAAATTAATTAGGAATTTCAAAGCTTTAACATCAAAAATGGCGACAACAAATGCAACAGCTCACAGCTCATTAAATGCAGCGAAATCATGCCGCGGCCATATAGCAAAAATATCTTTATCTGCGGCCTTAACTGTCTATTGTTTGGCCAGAGCAAAGCGGCAGTCAGGCAGCCGAGAAAAACGATTTCTTTATGGTGCAAACAGCGTCATAATTTAGATCTAATTGTCAGATACTTGCAGCCAGGCCACAAACTGCACGTCGCTGGGCCCAGCAGCCCGACGGCCCCGTGAAAATGTGGCTGTGGAAATGTGAATGTGGAAATGAAAATGAAGACATTTGACGAGGGAGCCGCCGCACTGGACAGCCGAGGAGCAGTTTCGCCAGTCGGATTTCTACGTCAATTACGGCGCGGAGCGTTTTATTGTCCAATGGCGTGCTGGGCGCGTATTAAGCCCGCTCGCTGATAGCGGCCACCACGCTCCACCTTCGCCCTCCATTCCTTTCGGTACCAATGCACTCCACTCCCCTCCCCTCCCCTCCTGCCCCTCGGCCCATCTTAGCCCACTAATGATGGCCAGAACGGATACAGATGCATGCGGCGGCCACATCGCCGGCTATTTATTGGAAGTGCATCTAATGAGACATTGGCATTGCTGGCCACAATTTGAGGCGAGCGAATAGCCGAATCGGGTTTGATATATGTGTGCCAATGCCATTCACCCTTTCAGTGGCACAGGAAATATTTCATAAAAAAGAAAATAAATAGTAAAAATTACTAATTTATATATATATAAATTTATTATAATTATTTACTGATTTAATCAACCTCTGTTTACTATTGAGTACTACGCTAAAGTATAGCGGACTCGAGGTCATTTTTAGAAGTTGAGTTTATAATTCAACAGTCTAGCATTTCATATTATTATATTTATTACATAAATAATTATAAATTATTTGAATAAACATATTTTTTGTTTTAAAACTGATTAACATAGCTGTAAGTAATGTAATTGTAATTTCAAAGTAAAAAGTATATGCACAAAGCAGTGGCATGAAATTCGATTTTATGAATGAAATCCGCAAACACATATTCATCCGCTTGTTTTTGTTTCCGCCTGTCAGAATAAATCAAATGTCTAAAGCACATCAAAGCGATGTTTCTGTGACATTTGAACTGCCAGCGGAAATGAATGAATGAATGGTCTTTGAAATAATTTGGCTATAAATACACTCACTTCCCCCCTTTAATTATTCAAATCCAGGCGACATCATTGCGTATGCGTAATATTGGACATTTCTCACGATAATTAGTACTAACCGGTGGGCGGCAATACCAGGCAGTGGGCGGTGCATGTGGGTGGGCGTGGGCAGCTTAAGTGACGGCAATTTGCGGTGCCTCAAGGATATTCGATGACAAAAAGAAATTGCTTTGTATTAAGCCGTCTGCCAGTGTCTAGACTGATTTCCAAAGCACATACGTACGTTCTACAGGGTTTAGGGGGTGTGGGAGCTGTGTGTAATAGTCCGCTTAGGCTTGCCATGCTGTCGGCACTTTACATCAAAGTAAAGCCATTGCAATTGGCTAGACAGCGCCTTATAATCCTCTGCCTTCAGTTGGTCGGTTCAGTTGTGTGTTTCGCTCCCGAACTCCATTCATACGCACTTGCCCGGGAATCGGGGATCTGCTGCGGTTTGGTAATGGATAGTGCTGACCAGCTAGGGCTATCGGAATTGGCACTTGCATGATTAATTAATTTTGACAGGAGCTGCCCAAAAATATATGAGATTGTTTTCTGAGAACCGGAATCATTTCCGGTTGCCATGGCCCACTCATTCTGTTTATTTCTATTTAAATTTAAGTACGTGCTGCCCCTTAAATAGTTTAATGCATTGTTTTATTGATGAGTGACTCATTTCCTTGCTCGCTCACTGCACTGCCAATCAAGTTACTTTGGGTGCGTTTACAAGGTCGAGGTATGCAAATTATAATCTGTGAAAGCAAAAAGAAATGTTATTACTAAAATGATAAAAATGCAATTCTTTGCGTTTATTTATTATAATTTATAATAATTGTTAAAATACAAATGAGTAAATTTAGCTATTTTTATTTTAACATATGTTTCTTAAATTGAAATAGTATATTATTTATTTTTAGTCCTCGTTTGCCATTTATTTACTGTAACGGTTAATAGCGGGTTTGAAAATCGATAAATTGTTTTTAGTATTTTACACAATATGTAGATAGGGTGGCGCCATCTGTGTTTCTGGCAATGCTGTATATGTATGTATATGGCAACACCTTGAAACACATTCAAAAGAGAGCGCTAAATGTGATAAAGGAAATCCAAAGCAAAACTAAAACATAAACTATTAAAAAAAAACACATTCTCACTAATTCTACTTTGATAAGTATGTTTCGAATTTAGCATATAATAGTATTCCAAATATAATATCGTTTTTCATAAATACAGATTTTAGTTTAAGAAATATATTGTTATGATATTATGAACAAAACAAATTTAAAAAATAAGCGAAGAGATTATTGAAATTTAGTTGTTTAAATTCAAGTAAAATTTTTAAAATTTATAGAAAGTAAACTTTTATTACATTTTTTAAGAGAAAATCTGAGTGCCTTCATAAATTTAGCTGCGTTTGATGCCATACATATACTATGCTGATGTCAGTATAATCAAAATAAAAAATCTTGTTAAAAGTTTCTTTTGTTCTTAATAAACTTATGCTTTTTTATTTATTTCGAAAGAACTATTATGTTCGATTCGTATGCTGAGACCCAAAACCCTTCTGATTCTCACACGCGTACAATATAATGCTTCAAAGACGGGTTTTGCATACTTTCCCCGGATTTTGAACCTAATTATGTAAAAAACCATAAACGAGGCAGTAAGTCTTTGTTGGGAGTTTCAGATATGCAATGGCTTCGCATTCATAAATCCGAAAAAAATCCGAACGGCAGCTGCAACCGCAGCTAATCACGTTCCTCTGGAGACGCCCGAGTCTTAGCCGGTCATGATTTGAATTTCAATTTAGATGGCTGTTCTGGGCAGGCGACGACAGCCACTCGTTGTTTTTACGAGATGTGTAAGGAGCATTTAACAGATAGTCTGATTGTTTTATGACGACAACGTGCCAAGCGCAACGAACGAGTGCCAATGCGACACTAAAGATGACAATTACAACCGCCGATCTTACGGATCGGAATGGCTCATTTGGAGAGATATTGTGGGATTCGAAATACGAGATTGCTTTTTAGCTAACCCTGAGCCAAAAAAGTAAAAACGAACCCGATCAAAACGGTTCAAGCTGCCGTTTAGCGTATCAATTACTCCCAGTAAGTGAAGTGCGGTCCAACATCTCACATTACACACTTGACATATATTTCGGTTCGGTTCGGTTCGGCACTCGAGAAGAAATGGAGATAGAGTGCGAGATATGGGTTCACGACCGGAAGGGAAGCAGAATGATATTTTGTACCCATTCATTGCTTTATGACTCCGTCGCAGTGAAAGTGTTTCAGTGGATAATGCTGCTTTAAGCACCGATTTTTCGCATGAAAGGTGGCATTATGTGGGCGACGTCTGCCTCTCATTCGGCCTCCGATATTTAGGCCAGCAGATCAATTACGGCCTGGCCTTTTTATGAGTCCAACCTGTCGCCGGCGCTACATGCCCTATAGCTCGATCTCAAAGGGTTGTTTTTGGCAATTAGTTTTATGGCTGTCTCTCTGGTTTACATAAAATTTCCTTGCTATTCTCCGAGGATTTATTGCTCATATTTTTGTTTTCTCTGAACTGCATGGAACTATTTTTTGTGGCTGGTAGACAAAACAAAAAACGAAACATTGATGACGTCATAGGAAGGTGAACACCTGAACACCTGCATTGATTCACGGACGTGTTTAGCTTTTTTTTACACTTCCTTTTGACATTTATGCCTGCCCAGAAAGTCCAAATAAGGCACCGCAGCTCTGCGCCTCAAGCTCACGTCGCCGATTCGGTAAATATCCATAAACACTTGAAGAAAAATTCATAAATATTTACCAGGTTATTTTGAATAATTTTTGAATATCTTTAAAGCTTTCTTAAATTCAGAATTTTTATTGGACAAATACAAATAATGGTAATGTCCTAAAATAAACTCATAGGTTTTGAGATTAATTAAGTTTCGTCAGAATTGGAAGATAATTGTTTTCTTGTTTTTAAAGTTTTTAATAGTATTTATTTATAATTTGTTTTCCTTTGTTCATTCACCGCTTTAAAAATAATATAAATTTCTAGTGTAGTATAACATATTAATAAAAATATTCAACGTGTATTTTGCACCGCCACCGTTGCTACTGTTGATTTGTGAGATGGATGACGCTGCGACTCCGATTCAACAATATAATCACAAAGTGCTGATAAATGCCGGCCGCTTACAGTGCAATTGTGACAAGTTGAAACGCGGAAACTTCCGCCAAGTGTAACGACAGATTGCAACTGGGAGCGATCCATTTCAAGGGCAGCTCCCCCATTTGATGGATTTCTCGGGTTAAGAACAGTTCAATTTGCACCCTGTGTTTGTGGTGCCTGCATCTGGAAATGTGGAGATGTGGGGAGCCAGAAATAGCTGCCCCCGATAGCAGAGGGGGTCATGAACTTCAATTATGTGCCTGGTAATGGGGCGTGGCCCCTCCCCCGCCATCTCCCCCTCCCCCGAAGGCCCGAAAGCAGGTGCCCTATGGCTGCAATCGTTGCTGCTGCTGGCGTGCTGCAACTCGTGTTGCCGCGGGGCAGCAACACAGCAACACATAATTGCTGTCAAATCGCCTGGCGAGCGCTTAATTGCGCATTTCAATAGCGACGTGGCGTTGGAAAACCGAATTAGCCGCCCTTTTGAACTTGCTGTGTTTACTCAAGACCCTGCCGAACATTCGATTTTAGAACTTTTAAGAGGAATTTTATTTATGAATCGAAATGGGAGCATTCGACGACTTGTGAATTGACTTTTATGGTGGTAATCTGCTGTTGAAGTTCCGCTTATCGGTCGAAACGACTCCTCCAGACCCCAGACCCCACTTTTGTTTTATTAGTTTTTATTGTTTTACATTGACTTGATAAACGGTCTGGTCTGCCTGCGCTGAAAATCAATTACTCGGAGGCACAAACACGCAGCGATCTAAGCGCAGTTGTCCAGCTTATCAGCTGAGGAAAACTGGAGCCGGGGAAACGTCAACTCAAGTACTCCCCAGCTGATCTAATTGAACCTCTGAACCCCTGAACCCCGCGTGCTGGGCTCAATTTCATGTCACCGAATCGTAAAGTTAATCAATTGCGGTCACCACCCAACCAACCTACCCCAATGTTGGGTGGATAAGGCAAGAGCTGCATAGTATACATATTTGCTCTAGGGCCTGCTGATAAGCAGTTTGATTGCTCTACAAACAGCGCACTGCAGCCAAGTTCAATGACAGCAGCAAGCCGCTGAATTCGGGTGGCTACTCGCCTGGGAATCGTGATCGGCATCCTTTATTCCCGCCATATGCTATCCGCTTCAAAATCCCAACCCCAACCCAAAAAGTGATCACTCAGAGAAAATTGTTAAGATGAACGAGTTAAAGATGTCAGGGATATGGTTTAAAATATTATAGGCAATTAAAACATTTACCGATTTACTTTTATGTTAAAAAATAGTAATATTTGAATAAATACTAGAGATAAGAAATAAACTCCTACTGTTCTACTTTGAATGTTGATCTAGTAAATATCTGTTCTAGTTGCAACTGCGGTTAAGAACTCATATGTAAATGATATATAGAGTGATAAAAGATTTCCTCTATAATAGCTCGAAATCCTCAAGTAACAACTTCAATTAGTCCATTTTCTCTGTGCAGATCTTGATGAGCCTGCATAAAGGGCATGGTAAATATTAATTATAACGAAATATACGATATGATGAGGAACAAATAAGCAGGCCTGTTTCCCTTAGGAGTTCCTTCAATAAGTATTCATAATAAAATGCGGCTCCCTGTTGGAACTCCATGGTGACAGGCGGCGAGAAGGCGACGCTCTTTTTTTTTTTTTTTGTACACAGGCCCTCGCACTTGGGCGTTCACTTATTTATGTGCGTTGCCTGTGTGCAGCAATCGCGTAGGGGGAGTGTAAATGCAAGTGGCGTTCCGAACAAGGAGAGCCACCACCCGAAATGGTCGAAAACAAGTTACAGTTATTCTGGAAATAATTGGTGGGAGGGTTATTTTCCCCTGTTGAGAACGTACTGTACTATACAAACGCAGTTCCATTTAAAAATATAATTTAAGTATAATACATATAAATGCGACGAGCCCAAATATAAGTGAACTAAATTTGTCTTAGACTCTCTTATTTAAACTAAATTAATAGTAAGTTGATTAATATAAAATAAGTTATTATAATTATTTATTATTTGTTTTCGTTACTGAGTTTTTAGAAACTATAATGGGGTATTTTTTAGGAATATTTTTTTATTATGACTGACAGAATTTTTCATGAACGTTGCATTAAGAATTTTGTACTCAAAATATAACCAAGTACTCACTTTAAGTGCATACCTCGGAATTAAGTCTATTTAAAGGTAAATGTATTAGGCTTTTCTTTTTAAATTTATCCACAAAATCAGAACATCCTCAAATTGAGAATACAAATGCTTGAATTGAGAAAATCTTGAAAAAATCTCTCTGTGTGTGCAAAAACACAGACCCCAAAACCATATGATATATCAGCGGCCTCTCAGGTCAGAACCTCTCTTTCGACAATCGTGTGCGGTGGACTCAGCGGACAGCGGATTCGACGGCTGTCCAAGTCTGCTGCAGCACTTGAATTCATTTCATTTCGGTTCGAGTCGTCGGAGAGTGAAAACGTCCAAAGTTCGGTTGCACCACCGATCTCTTGCCGCGGCTATAGACCAGAGTTGCGGAAATAAAGCGCCGCATATGCTGTATACTAAACATAAATGCAGATTGTATGGTCCAGTAGTCGTTATAGCGTGTGGTTTACAACAACTTGTCGCCGGTAAAAGTGACAAAGGAAAAAACAAGTTCTGCCCCGATTTTTAGCTAGATCTCGCGAGAGCACGGCGAAAGCCGGCTGGGCTTAATTAAATTAATATAATTTCGAGGGAACGCCGCCGCACAGCGATCTCGGGTGTGTGAGTGCCTCAATTAAATTCAATAAATCATAAATAAGTGAGTGCCAACGGATCCTGTTTTAGTGGCGTGGCTCTCTGGCGCAATTGTGATTTATTGGCCCCAGAGGAGCCGGGGTGAATTCAAGTGAAATTAGGGAATTACGAATGCGAAAACTTAATTTTGATGAGTTCCAATGAAAGTTGCTGTTGAATCGAAAATGTTTCGCGTCATATTCCTCGCTCTCTTGGCTTTGCCCTCTCAAATCGAAGCCTTCAATTTTATGCCAAAGCCGAGCAGGGTGATAAACTCCCCGACGCATCTGAAGTTCCACCTAAACCAAACGCGGAGCTCCTACTTTGGATACACGCTCGTCATCCGTGAAACCAGGTGAGTTTCTTTGGATCGCCGTAAATATTTGCATACATGTATGGGGAGTGTGAAGCGTCTATAGTTATTCCGATAACCGACATACATATCTTCTGTTTGACTTGGCGCAAGACAAGCGAGGGCTTTCAATTCCCGGCCAACACCTTTGTCAATATTTTGAAACTTCTACTTCTGGCACACGGAAATGGGAAACTGAAGCTAGCGAAAGGGGATCGTCAGAAGTTGGTAGCTTGACAAAATTAGTATTGCTATTGGCACTTAACACTTTGTCCGGCAATTAAAATGTTATTTTCGCCCAGTCGTAAATGGATACTCCTCATTGAGGTATCTCGACTTTCGGGACAGAAAACCCAGCTTGAAGACCTCTCAGAAACAATACCACTTGAGAGGAAAATTTCTAAAAATAACAAAAAACTGGCTACTTCAACTTCAATTGCCATCGCTTACAATCGCCACAGATCTTGAGAGATCGCGACTCTGTCTCGAACAATTGACAAACCCGAACACTTTTCAGTGAGCCGGGGCGACCTACATATCTCATATATGATATGTAGACCCGATGGCGGCGACTTTGGCTTGGAGTACGGGCCCCAGAAATGACATCACACACCTCTACCGGCGCCACAAATCACAGTTAATTGAATAGGATGAAAGTGCTTAGATCGAAGTTCAGATACGCTTCTTGAGATACCTTCCGAAGTGCTCTTTTTGAGGTTGTATCTTGAGATACTTATCATTTCGGTTGGCTGATAAGTAAAACGATTCTTCTTTTTTTATATACCATAAGGTATTATAGAGTATCTAAAGTATTAATGGTAAAGGTATTTTTTTGGTCAAAATTCAGGCCACAGCCTCAGAATCAGCACTTTGGTTTGTTCATTTGCCGAGTACAAGTACATCCATATCTTGTTTTGATTCAGGCAATCAGTAAACCTGGTTAGAATGCAGTACTCGTACGTGATCATAACGAGCTAGCTCTCTTGACCATATTTTATTTCCATAAACCTGGATGGGTAATTTGGAACTTCCTCTACAGATCCCACTTCCCCTTGCTGTTGTTTTTATCGCCAGCACTTTGAAGCCCAAAATACCCATTACGAAGTACGCCTAATTATGTACGGAAATTGCGCGTAAAATCACGACAAGCCGTAATTTATTTCACATCAATTGAAGCTGGCCGAGACAAACAAAAAGTGTAGGGCTTGTTTATGGTTTCCCAATGGAATTGAAACAAATGTAGGAACACGAGTGCACTCACTCACTGTTTCCCAATAGCTCTTGCATTCTGGCGAAATGAGTCACAAATGTTTCCAATCCGATTTGAAGGCGATGGCGTCTGCAGGCCCACCCTCGTCCCCAAACCGCCCTGCCCCCGAAGAGTTCCTCCGTTCAACTGACACCACACACAAATATTTTTAGCCATCTTACTCTGGGTCATTAAACCGAATTCCAAAAAATAAAAAACAAAACAAAACTGAAGACTCCACAACGGAAAACGGTGCAGCATGGTGGCTTTTGTTCTTAACATTTGATGACCGCAAGCTGCAGCGTTTCTTTGTTTTTGTTTGGATGAGGTGGATATGGGAATGGGGATGGGGAAGGGGAAGGGGAAGGAGATTTGTGTGGTCCGTAACATGGCTTATTGTCCGAACACATAAACAGATAAATGCTCCTTGCTCGGCATTTAAACAAAGCGCCACCGCCCCACGTAAGTCTTCCGCTCAAGAAATTACATTGACAGTCAGAACTATAGATGTGAGTTGAACTTAATTACTCCCCATTTTTCAACAGATTTTTCATATTTCTTTGGGATTTTTTTGAAAATATTTTTTATCAATTTTAGGGAGGTAAATATAATTTTTAATCGAAAAATGGACAACGATTTTTTAAACTTTTTTAGAGCCCTGCGTAAACTATTCAATTTTTAGTTTCGTGGTATGCCATGAAATTTTATATTCATTTGATTCAAAAACTCAAACTCCAAATTTAAATTCATTCAATTCTATTAAACTTAAAATTCAAATTAATTCATTAACATAATGTTCTAAGTATTTCATTAAAATAATTCATGCAAGGATCTAACAATGCTTAAAAAAATCTTTATCCATTTTTGGATTAAGGCTGATAAAAACTTGCATATTTTTCTGTTTAAAGAAAGTGTTTTAAATTATCTGAGATTATTTTTTTGTTGTTGCACTAATTTGGACACCGCTGTATTTATGCACAAAGGCCAGGGCCAAAGAGCCGTTGGGAATGGGGATGGGGGGCAGATGCGTGTGCGAGACATGGTTTACATGGTCATGAGTCACGTCTTGGGGAAATACGTAAGCGACAACCCGTACTTTGTATTACCACTCAGATATGCCGAATTTTCAGTTTTTGGTCCGCCTCCATCGAAGTGAAAACAAATGTTTGCAGAGTGTTTTACTTTTAGCATAAACAGTTTCTGGATCAGGTAGCCAAAGTGACGTGTGCTTGTTACTGGCCCAACTCAAAGTATTGACATTTTTCGTTGTGATTGCCGTTTTTTCACGCATGCAATCAAGCTCAAACTATTTGTCTCGCGCCGTCTTGCGGATAAAGTTACGTCGGAAATCAGGCCAGGGAACAAATGCATGCGTGGTGACTCATCCAGTGTCCATCTGACTAAGCCCGAGATTCGTTCCGGGGAAAACTGGTATAAAGATGTAGTTGTATGAACAATAAAAAGTAAATCAACGAGCTATTAGAGGTCAAAGTGATGGCAGGCAATATTTAGATGCAAATTGAATAGTTTGATGGACGGCAAAATGTAATATCGTTATTCAAATCCGCCTTAAAGTATGTACAGAAAATACTGTTTCAAAACAAAATATGTTGTATATGTTTTTTTATTATTTATCGTGGGTTTTTCCAATCCGTTTTTTTCTTTGGTTTCTTCTTATGGTAACCTAATATCCTATCATTTGGGTCTGACATGAGTCAGCCGCTTTGGTTGATTAAAAAACACTTGTTTTTCTTTTTATTACGATTGTAATTTAGTTTCCTCGCATCCATAAGAGGGTATAACTAATTTAAAAACTATAAGTTAAATGGGGATGAATACTGCAAATTATTTGGTTTGTATTATGTATTATGTTGGGTGATCCAGTTCTATCATTGAGGTTTTCTATGAGTCAGTCTTTTTAAGGCTGCTTAAAAAAACAAACACTTTCTTATAAGTTGGAGTAGTACCCATGAAAAGTGCAAATACGGCAAGCGGTTTGAAGATGGTATTCACGCCACTCCCACGAGAGCCCCAACGGTAAAGTGAGTAAGCCTGGCCAAAACAGAGCGGTTCTCTCTCTGAGTTTGGATACCATACCACGAGTATCAAGAACAGGGACGGATTTCGTCGTGGCGGGGCAATAGCAAATTCTGGTAGTGGTGTTTTAGGTATTATTATTTAGGTTATGATATTTAAATTATGGTTTAAAAACAAAGAACTACTATAATGCTCAGTAGTTACTAATCATCCATTTATCATTGCATAGCTTAAAACGGTTATTAAAACTCCTTATTTTTAATTAACCAATAGATTTATGGGTTTGTGTGCTTAAGTTTTATTCACATTAATTAAACCAGTATACACTTATGTACTTTTTTTATGTAAATATTTTTTTCTGTGCAAAAAATTTGATTAGATTACTTTCGACAAATGACCCTAGATGATCCTAGTGCGTGAGCATAATCTTTATATTTCCATGCCCAATCCGCCACTGTCCTAAAGTGAACCCGTTGGCTCTCTCTCGACAGCACAGCCGAGTGCTAAGATGGTCGGCAGGTCGGTCTGAAAGCACTGCTCAGTTAGTAGCTCAGAGAACTTCGATCGGCACGGTTGCCAGATACGATCCATATCCGGCGGCGAAGTTGCGCGTTGAGGCAATAAAACGAAAGTGATAATACACATCGAAGTGGAGATTATTCAGCTGACGATCGCGTGGCGTAGCATTAACCAGTTAAATAATCGTGGTCTTTTGAAGCTTGAAGCTCTGCTGTTAAAGTGCTTGTAAAGTGCATAAATGGCGCGGCAAGGTCGCGAATTCTGGGTGGTGCTGGTGGTGGTGCTATCCGTGTGCCTGTCCAGCCACTCCGATGCATTCAACCTCTCGCCGCGGCCCAACAGGCAGATATCGGATCCCCAGTTCGTTACAGGCCTGCCCAAGGTGCGTGCGTCATATTTCGGATTCACGATGAGCCTGCGACCCAATGGGTAAGACTCCAACTCCCCAACCAGCTCCTCCAGCTCCCGCATCTTCCATTTACCCACTCCAAGAAAACCGGGGAGTAAACAGGTTGTGTGACGATGATGATGATTCACGCTCTCGAACGCCAATCGAATGGTAGCTGTAAAAATTGAATGAACTTTTTTAAAAATGCTCCGCCAGCAAAGGCTAAAAAAAGTGTCAAAGAAAGAAATTCCGTACACTTACTGCCTTGTGCAAGCGATGAAGTCATACTCTTAATATCAATTATCTTCACATAGCGAGGAGGTGTAGTCAAGCACATAAAATATATAGTATAGGTATACATATGGTATATGGTTTTATGGAGATATCAAGCTCAGTCGCCACCGATTGTATATTGTCCAAGCTGGAAGTTATGCAAATAATATTTGCAACGCTGCACGTTCGAACCTTTGTTGGCTCAATAAGTCAGCTATTTAGGGCGGAGTTCGGTTATTCGATGTGTAACGTTTAGAAATAACGAATCGTGAATCGTCAATGCCAATTTGTTATCAGCTAGCTTCGTTTTAAACGATTCACGATAAGATTACCGCTGTCACAGTGAAATTCCGCTAAGGGAAATGCATTTAGTATTTTGACCGGGAGCTATGTTGCAAAGATAAGGTGTTCAGGTTGACTCGACCGCCGACATCTTATCGAATTTCCATTGTCAATCCACTTTACTTTGGATTCGCCGGAAAAATCGACTAATAGATGAGACACAATAAATTGGCTTCAATGTCTGACTAATTCGACTAATAAAGCGAGCGCAACGATTGCGTTTTTTTGGCCCTTTGCCATGCAAAATTATAGGGAAAAGTTTAATTTTTCCACTTAAATGATATGAGTGAAATTTATGTTATAGAAGCTCCCGAAAATAATTATTTCCAGTTCGTGTTTCATACATTTATGTTTATTCTTGTGAATTATTTGTTGGCAAATATTTCAATTTCACATAAAACATTTTAAAGAGTAAAAGTTAGCACCTTGAATGATAAGTAAATAAAAATGAGATTCATAGGAACTTTATCTTCTTTTAAATTTATTACTAAACCAGTTTATACTAGGTTTTTTATGTTATTGACAAAATATAAATATGTATGAACATCACATTATTCTTAACGAAAATTCTCTCAAAAATTATGTTTATGTTTACTATATACATTATCTTCTCTATCTTTTCTTGCAGCATTATTGTGGGCGCTCCGCGAGCCCAATCCACCTTGGAGTCGCAACGGAGCATCAATGAGACGGGGGCGATCTACAGGTGCTCCTTGACAGATAGCGTCTGCCGTCCATATGTCCTGGATCCGCGCGGAAACGTGGATGCACCCTTCAATGAGTACACCTACGACTCGGAGCGCAAGGACTTCCAGTGGCTGGGCGGATCCATGGACGGTGGCACGAAGGATTCGGATAAGCTCCTCGTTTGTGCTCCCCGATTCTATGCGCCCAGCCCCCGGGATTACCATCTGCATGGAGTCTGCTACTGGGTCAACAACACTGTGGCCAGCTCTCCGGAGCACGTGACCCGCATCTCGCCACTCCGCCTGAAAACTGACCAGGTGAAGGAGGATGAGAACGGCACCAAGGCCAGCTTCTTTTACATAATGGGCGAACTGGGCCTGAGTGCCCATGTGGCGGATGACAACTCCAAGTTCCTGATCGGGGCCCCCGGCATCAATACGTGGAAGGGATCGGTGATTCTGTACCGTCAGGTGGATCCCGTGGACAATCCCACCGCCAGTAGACGTGACACGAGCAGGGCGCTCCGGCGAACCATTCGGGATGTGGACACCAATGAGTATACGCCCGAGCACTACGCACCCGAGATCCCCCAGCCATCGAATTGGGGACAGGAGGATGACTCGTACTTCGGCTACGCCGTGGCCTCCGGCTACTTCGATAGCTCCAATCCGAGCACCCTGCTCTTCGTGGCCACCGCCCCGCAGGCCAACAAGCAATCGGGCGAGGCCTACATCTTCGATGTTCGCGGCAAGAACATCCACAAGTACCACGTCTTCCGGGGCGAGCAGTTCGGCGAATACTTCGGCTACTCCGTTCTGGCGGAAGATCTCAATGGCGATGGTAGGACGGACGTCATCATATCGGCACCGCAGCACGCTCTGGAGGATTCCCACGATAATGGAGCCATCTATGTGTTTATCAACAAGGGCTTTGTGAGTAATAAGCCCTTTTTGGGGTGTCGAGGAGGTGGGGCTTCCGGAACAAGAATGACTAATCGTATTCTTATTATTCCAGTTCAACTTTGAACGACAGATTCTACGTTCGCCAGTGGAACACCAGGCGCGCTTTGGAACCACTCTATCGCGTCTGGGAGACCTTAATCATGACGGCTACAACGGTGAGTTGTGATCTCTATTCATAATTAGGAAATGCAAATACTTGGTGGTCTATTTAAATATTTTTAAAAATTGATATATGATAAATACGATATAGATTTACTATTAATTACTTTTAATTTCCCATTTTGTACAGATGTTGCCGTGGGAGCTCCCTTCGCCGGAAACGGATCCGTGTTCATCTACCTGGGCAGCGAACATGGATTGCGGGAACAGCCGAGTCAGCGACTGGATGCTCCTTCCCAGCAACCCTCCAAGTATGGAGCCCACATGTTCGGCCATGGGTTATCCCGCGGATCGGACATAGATGGTAACGGATTCAACGACTTTGCCATCGGAGCCCCCAATGCCGAGGCCCTGTATCTGTATAGGGCCTATCCCGTCGTAAAGGTCCATGCCACCGTGAAGTCGGAATCGCGGGAGATCAAGCCGGAGCAGGACAAGGTGAAGATCACCGCCTGCTACAAACTGAGCACCACTTCCAAGGCAACGCTGGTGCAGGAGCAGGAACTGGCCATCCGAATCGCGATCGACACTCAGCTGAAGCGGGTCAAGTTCGCCCAGACGCAGACCAATGAGTTGGCCTTCAAGGCGAATGCGAATCTTGGCGAGCAGTGCCGCGTCTTCGAGGCCCAGGTGCGCTACAGCGAGAAGGATATATTCACGCCCATCGATCTGGAGATGCACTACGAACTGACCAAGAAGATTCCCGACTCCGAGGGTGAGCTTTAAAATATATAGTTGGTTAGGGAAATTGCGTTACTAACGTGGCCTCCTTCTGTAGAGTTTTGTGATAGCTGTGCCGTTGTTGATCCCAAAGAACCGAAAGTCTCCACGCAGAAGATAATCTTCAGCACGGGCTGTGCCACCGATGTTTGCACCGCAGACCTGCAGTTGAGGAGCAAAAATGTGAGGTATGTTGATATCGGATATCATATTGTCCTAGAATTTTCCAAAGTCTATTGGGGGTAGAAAAACGCAGAGTTATTTTTCACTAAGAAAACGGAACTGCGAAAATTAAATATAAACTGTGATAGCCTCCAAAGTTCGTCATTATCATGTTTAAAAAATGCTTAAAGGTCTTTAAAAAAATAGTTTCCCAAAAGATTGTAGGCATGCAGAAATAGTTATCTACTGACCGTAATTTCATTACAAGAACTCGTGATAAAACATCATAAATTACACTTATAAAAATGGTTACCAAAGAATGTTTACTTTGGCCTAGCATGGAAATAAATTGGTCTTTTTTGTAAGCTAGTGTAATTTTTTAAAATATATCTTTATTTTTGAGCAGTGAGTAACGATTATCGCACAATAGGTGCACTCATGAACATGAGTAATTTAGAGCCTTTCAATGTTGATCAAACTTATGACTTATCGAGACTTTTTTTAACATTCCCCACAGCCCCACTTATATTTTGGGCAGTGCCGATACGCTCCGTGTGAACTACGAGATCACCAACGGTGGAGAGACCGCCTACCTGCCCCAATTCAACGTGACCAGCACCTCCCGGTTGGCTTTCGCCCAGGTTCCTGGAAACTGCAAGGTCGCCGAGGCAGTCATGGTGTGCGACCTAAACCGCGGACGACCTCTGGCCAAAGGTGACAGCGATTCGGTGACCATCAGCTTCGATGTGAGCCAACTCAGCGGACAGTCGCTGATCATCCACGCAGAAGTATTCAGCACGGGCTACGAGAAGAATCCCACGGACAACAAACAGACCAATGTGATAAGTCTCAAGGAGTTCACCGAAATCGATGCCAGCGGGTAGGATTCCAGGCAATCAATTTAACTATCCAAAATCTAACTATCTACCCCTATCCCTTTCAGTGGCCAGACAAACAACCAAATCGATTTGGAACACTACAGCAACTCGGCGGAAATAATCAACAACTACGAGATCAAGAGCAATGGGCCTAGTGTAATCGAGCAGTTGACCGTTTCCTTCTATATACCCATCGCCTATAAGGTGGCTGGATCTGCGGCCATTATACCCATCATCAATGTGACCAGCCTGAAGATGCAGGCCTCCTACGATTCCCAGCTGCTGAGCGTGGATCTCTACGATCAGAACAACACCCTGCTGGTGGTGGATCCCGTGGAGGTGGGTGTGACCACTCTTAGCGGAGGCCTGGAGCGAACTGTGATCACCCAGACTCATGGGCAGAGCTACGACATCCACACCAGTGGACACGTGCACCAGACCATGCAGGTGCTGGACTCCGACATGGTGGCCACAGCCTCCATGACCAGAAGGCGTCGCGATCTCAAGGCCCTGACCGCCAATCGTGAGCAATATGCTCGCATCTCGAATGTCAAGGCCCACGATCTGCTGAGCGAGGACTTCAAGGGCAAGCTGCCGGTGAATCGCACCATTGTGTTCAATTGTCGGGATCCCCAAATGACCATCTGCGTGAGGGCCGAGATGCAGGTTCACTTTAGGCCGGAGAAATCGATTAACCTGAACATGCGGTACAGCGTGGATCTGAACGAGGTGAATGCCATACTGATGGATCCCTGGGAGTACTTTGTCATCCTGACCGACCTGAAGCTGTCCAAGAAAGGCGATCCCACTTCCAGTTCGTTTTTGATCAACCGCAGGATCGAACCGAATATTATATCCAAGCATCTGGAGGCCGGACTGCCCATCTGGATAATAATTGTGTCCGTAATCGGCGGTCTGCTGCTGCTGTCTGCGATAAGCTATGCTCTATACAAGGTAAGTTATTGGGTAATAAGATGAAAAGGCTTGTGATTCTAACCATCGATTATCCCTTTCTTAGTTTGGCTTCTTCAATCGCACAAAGAAGGACGAGTTGGACAGGTTGGTGCAGCAGAATCCCGTCGAGCCGGAGGCCGAGAACCTCAACAGTGGCGGCAATAACTAACTTTGGCCGAGGTAAATCCCAGCCACAGTACACATCACATTCAAAATGGATGGACCAGTTACCAAATCCTATTTTCAGTACGGGAAGACTACCCACTAAGTGTGTTCTTATGCATTTAAAAATGGAGCTAAACACGAAAAACGATTTACGAAAAATCTACCTTATAGGATATACGTGCAAATTGTGAACCGCAAGCCATTCAATGCGTTTGTGGGTCTGATTTTTAGGTTAAGTGCCTTGTAATTTGTAGTTTACAACTAATTTATAGCCATGTTGCCATTTGTTGTATATATTTATTTTAATTACCCGTAATTGTAATCAATTTGTAAAGGTAGCTTTACATGGCGACGTAAAAGACTTTATTAATGTGTAAATTGTAAAAACGAAACTAGGTTATTTTAAGCGATAACAGCTTGTTTAGAACCTATTCTTGTATTATACTAGAGTATTAAAATGATGAATAATAAATTCAAAGTAAAAACAATTCATTTCAGGAGATTTTTTCAGCATGTGCCATTTGGAATACTAATTTTTTTAATAACATGCTTGTTTTATTGTTTTTATACATTTTTAAGAATAACTCTTGTGACACACAAATTTTCCGATATCAGTTGTAGACTATATATACTGCCGCATCCCATTTATTTCGTTTCATTCGAATTCAAGTTTTCAAAGAGTTCAGTCTTTCGGACTTTAAATAGTTCGAGTGTGTTTCTTCTTAAATCGTTAAAAATATTATCATACAAATTATAAATTTGTTAGATTGCTGTTTAAATATATTTAATAAATAATTTTGGATTATTGTACTCCAAGTTAAATCAAGAATGTACCGCCTTCTGCTTCTCGTGTTTTTGGGTCTTTGGTACCAAATCGAAGCATTCAATATTTCGCCATATCCGGTCAAGAGATATTTATATCCTAGATCAGCAAAGCATGAACGAAGCACTTATTTTGGATTCTCGCTCGTCATACGAGAGAAAAGGTGAGTTACAGATCAATGGGCGATATTGTAGGATAATTTATTTTGGATAAGATTGGCATTTTACAGATTTAATGGTGTTGGGTCTTAAATAGTACAAAACAATGACTTCATGATTACTTCTTGATTTACGAATGGAAAATGAATAATAAAAATTTACCGACTTCATAATTGCATTCTTTGGAAAATTAATTTAAGGTTTGCCCTATAAAAGAACTACGACATTATTCTTTAGTTTTGACTTCTTTTTTAAAACAAAATTAATTTTAATAATCAAATTAACATAGTGCCAGTGGCATAGCAGGGAAATTCATCAGAGGGGCAATGAATGTATCACATGTTTTTTCATTTAAACTGAATTAATATTAGTCGTCTGGAATTTTAAGACTTTTGCCGATAATTATTTTTAAAAAGAATAATAATAATACATAGTTATTCATATTTATTTATTTGTTGTTTGGTAATATTCACAAATTGTGTTAGTCATTTTGTGAATATTCATCAGTGACTCGACGAGGATGATTTACAATGACTAATACTGTATTAATAGTTTTCCCTGCCAAGTACCTAAATTTAAAACCACTCTCTATTTAATTTATATGGCACGGCAGAATTATAGTGGCAGCTCCCCGTGCTAATTTCGACAATCGATTGAATACAATTGAGCCTGGAGTGATCTTTAATTGCAACCTTACAGACAGCCAATGCACATCGTATGACATAGAAGAGAAGGGAAATTATTATCAAGCTGCAGGTGAAATTACCCTTAAGGCTGAGGGCAGGGACTTCCAATGGCTGGGCGGATCCATGGACGGCGGAACAAGGGACACTGATAAGTTGCTCGTGTGTGCCCCGCGTTTCTACAGTCTACAAGAAGAGGTTGAAGATGGATGGTTAGATGAGCCTGTACCAGAAAACGAGAAAAAACAGATCTCCATGATTGGAAACTGCTACACGGTGACGAACACACTTAAACTAAGGAGAGGCAGTGGTCTCGATCCATTCATGAGTAAAAATAAGCAGACCCGTAGATTGGAAAACAATGAAACAGAACCCTTGTATCAAATGGGTGAACTAGGACTGAGTGCTCATGTGACGAAGGAGTCGACGTTTCTGATGGGAGCTCCCGGAATCGATGTGTTTAGGGGGACGGTGTTTTTAAAGAAGACTAATGAAAGCATAGGAACGAAATCATCGTCACAACGGCGTAAACGAGAAGTATCCGAACCAGAAAAATGGGGCCAGGAGGAGGGCTCATACTTTGGCTATGCCGTTAGCTCTGGCAACTTTGACACTTCCAAGCCGAACAACCTCCTCTACGTGGGCACCGCTCCTCATGCCAATCACAAATCGGGAGAGGCCTACATCTTTGAATATCGAGATCTAGAAACGAACATCCGAAAGCTCTACGTCTTCAATGGCACGAAGTTTGGCGAATACTTCGGCTACTCCGTTTTGGCGGAGGATCTCAATGGCGACGGAGAGATGGACCTCATCATATCAGCACCCCAGTATTTTCCGGATGAGTTTTCCCATGACAACGGTGCCATCTATGTGTTTATCAACAAGGGCTCTGTGAGTAATGAATTTAAACTGTAGTATTAGTGGCTGACTAATGCCGCGTTGATTTTGCAGCTTGAGTTTGACAGGACTATTATTCATTCGCCAGCGGGCAATAAGGGCCGATTTGGAACTACTCTATCGCCAATAGGCGATATTAACCGAGATGGATACAATGGTATGTTTTTAGGTCACCTAGTTAAAATTTTGAGTAGATAAATTGAAATTAATTACAGATGTGGCCGTGGGAGCTCCCTTTGCCGGAAACGGTGCGGTGTTCATTTACCTGGGTAGCAAACATGGTCTAAGAGAAGAGCCTAGTCAGCGAATAGATGCTCCTCTCTATCATACTTCCAAATTCGGATTAAATTTACCAATGTTTGGCCATGGCTTATCCCGCGGATTGGATATAGATGAAAATGGGTTCAACGACTTCGCCATCGGAGCTCCCAACGAGGAGGCGGTTTATGTGTACCAGGCATATCCCGTTGTGAAGGTTATAGCAACAGTAGAACCTACAACACATCGGGTCGAACCGGAGCAAGATAAGCTGAATATAACTGTCTGCTACCAGCTGACTACCTTATCCACGGTAGAGAACGTACAGAAGCAGGAGTTAGACATCCGGATTGAGCTCGGCACGGAAAAGCATCTGAAAAATAGGCAGGCTGCGTACAACAGCATTACTTGGATCTACTTCTCGGATACTGCGGGTCTCGAAAAGAACTGCACGGAATTCGAAATTGAAATGTCTCCAGAAGCTAAATTCGACAACATTACCATGAAGATGCACTATGAGCTAAAGAACAAGATTCCAGAAAATAAGGATAAGCCCATAACAGACTTCTGCGAAAAGTGTGCGGTTCTTGATCCGTCAGAGCCAAACTTTTCAACAGGGAATATTACCTTTGGCACTGGCTGTTCCAACGATATTTGCGTGGCTGATCTGCAGCTAAGGATCTCAAATAAGAGGTAAGGAACTTTATGCCTGTTGTTTTCTTATATCCTGAATAAGGGTACTTTATATGTACTTACTGTTTACTTACTTACACAAGTCGGCATACATTTTGACAAAAATTTAAATGTAATTTACTCTTTTTACTATTTAAGTCTCATTTAAATATCTGCAAGTTTTTAAAGACTTGGTCCTGTCGAAGTTAGCTCTTGTTCTAGTTGTACTCTATTTCACAGAAGTATTTATCTTTCTCCTAGCTCCGAATTTATTTTGGGTTCTTCCAACACCCTACGTCTGAGGTACGATATTATCAACGATGGGGAGAACGCCTACCAGCCGCAATTCGAAGTGATCAGCACTCCCCGTCTGAATTTCAGTCAGATTCCGGCTAACTGCAAGTGTGACGAAGGCGTAATGCTGTGCGAACTGAACAACGGATTTCGACTGACCAAATCCAACTCCACCCACGTCGAGGTACTCTTCGATGTTAGCGAACTGAAAGGCCAGTCACTGACCATCAACGCTACAGTGTTCAGTGCCCTAGGCGAGATGACTCCCAAAGATAACAATATAATAACAGTGATCAACCTCAAGGAAAAATCCGAAATCGATGTCTTTGGGTACAGTTAACAAAATGACTATAATTTCTTTGGACTAACTGAAACTCTAATTAATTTTCAGAGCTCAGACAAATGATCAACTTGTTCTCAAAAAGGACCCCTACATCGCGGAACTAATAAATCATTATGAGATCAAGAGTTTCGGCCCCAGTACCATAGAAAATGTAAATGTGTCCCTTTATATTCCCATAGGCTATAAGAAGTCTGATTCTAAAAGCATTCCCATCATGGACATATCCAGCTTAAAGGTAGAGGCCGACTACAATGATTCCAGGCCACTTACAATCGAACTTTTCGACCAGTATAATAGGAAGAACACCTTATCGACATCCCGAAAGCGTAGGAATGTTGAAAGTTTGAATGGTGTAAAAGAAGACAACAATTCTAGCATACCTCAAGTCCAGACCAACGATCGGTTGCTGGAGGAGGATCTGCCGAAGGATAACACCATTGTGCTTAACTGCCAGGATACCAACAAGACAGTATGCGTACGGATCGATATTGGGCTCGATTTAAAGCCGCACAAGATAATAAATCTGAACGTACGCTTCAACGTGGATCTGAACAAGGTGGACGATTCCTGGGAGTACTTCGTCATCCAGACTAACATGAGCTTAGTGAAGAAGGGCGATTCCTCGTCCTGTTCGTTCACTGTTAACAAGAAGATCACATCGAATGTGATATGCAAGCATGCTGAAGTTTCCATCTGGAAAATAGTGCTAGCCGTTATTGGGGGCGTGGTGCTCCTCGGTGCAATAGCCTACACTCTTTATAAGGTTCGTATCAGTTTGGTTTACAAATGTTTTATGCACTTCTGACTTACCTCTTATTTTAGCGCGGATTCTTTCAACGCAAAGTAAAATACGAACTAGCCAAGTATATTCGAGAAAGTTTTGAGGAGGGGATGGCAGCAGCGGAGAGGAGGGAGTTGGAGAAGGATGGTAATCCAGGGGCGGATCCTGATGCAGAGGTGGATGTGCATGCGGAGGCGGAGAACCTAATGCCAGGTGACAGCAATTAACAAGTTGTACACCATATTCATGCTAAAACGAAATGGTATTTATATTTTTAAGCATTTAAAGTGATAAAATGTTTTGTTGATGATGCTAAGATACTTGGTTGATGATGTTAAGATACTTGGTTCCTTGCGGTAGTTAACTTTGAAAAACTTTATTTATTTATGTAAACAATGTTAGAGATAAAATAGGTCTATTTTATGTAATAGAAAATATTGTTATCTTTATGGTAGGAAAATTAAAACACTAAGTAATAAGTATTATCATTTCAAAATACTTGAATGTTAATCTTACCATATTAAACTATTTCTCAGATCTAAGTCACTGAAAAATAATTTAAAATATTATGCCATAAGTAAAAAATGTTGTAAAATAATTAAAATTTTATAACTGTAATATATTTAGGGCTGTTTTCTCGTTCGACTGTTAAATTTAAAGTAGGGTTTAAACTCTGATTTTCCATATGGTTTTAAGGTTTTAACCTTACTTACAATTTAACGTATTAAACTAAAAGTATGTCTTAATAATATTTCTACCCATTTTGAAAATTTAATTCAAATTTTGATATTTTAATATGTGGACGAGAAAACGGTCTTTAATCTCTCATATGAACAATTATGATGGCGAGCGAGTATTCAAAGTTGAACGTATTGGTATTGCTCAGGTTCGAATATAAAAATCTCTGGACCGGTCATGGCGAAATATTGAATGCTTTGATTGGGGACCAATGTCCCAATAATACGAGGAGCAGAAGGTGCCACATTTTTGATTTAACTTGGAATATTATAATTCGAAATAATGTATGTTTTAACGGCAATCTAATACAATTATAATGTAAAAATATATTTAACGATTTAAGAAGAAACACAATCAAATTATTTGGTACTTGGGGTTATACATGCACTGATTATACGGAATCTACATGAATGATGTCATGTTTATCTACAGCATAGTCAACACTAAAGCTTTATTCCAAAGCTAAATTCTTATCCGAAGTAAAACAAAAATCTCTTTCAATTAAGAATGATTGAAGTTTGTATTAGTGGACTGCTCAAATCTAAACGAAATAATTTATATTGAATAAAAGCGACCGAAAAATGTAATGTTCCGATCATAAGCAGTGTTACATTAATCCGCATTATTTGAACTATTATTTTCTATGTTTCGGCCAAAATAATTATTTTTATACCCGTTACTCGTAGAGTAAAGAAGTATATTGTATTCGTGCAAAAGTATGTAACAGCTAGAAGGAAGCGTTTCCGACCCCATAAAGTATATATATTCTTGATCAGGGTCACTAGCCGAGTCGATCTAGCCATGTCCGTCTGTCCGTCTGTCTGTCTGTATGAACGCTGAGATCTCGGAAACTACAAAAGCTAGAAGGTTACGATTTTACACACATATTCTTGGGCCTCCTACGCAGCGCAAGTTTATTTCAGACCAGCGCCACGCCCCCTCTAACGCCCACAATCGCCCACTAACGATTTTAAAATGTGTCCTGCGCCCACATCTTTAAAGATTTCCCAGAAGTATAAGTGCAATTTTGTTGTGTATATTTATACCTATCGAAATGTAGAAGACATTTTTGAAATCGGACCATTTATTAAAAGTTATACGCAATCAAAATTTATATATCTATTTCCCTCGAACTCCCTTTAGCTGAGGTTCGAATATTAGATAGTCGGGACACCAACCCGAGTACAGCGTTCGCACTCCCTTTAGCTGAGTGACGGGTATTAGATAGTCGGGACACCAATCCGACTATAGCGTTCTCTCTTGTTTTTATACCCTTGCAGAGGGTATTATGATTTCAGTCAGAAGTTTGCAACGCAGTGAAGGAGACGTTTCCGACCCCATAAAGTATATATATTCTTGATCAGCATCACAAGACGAGTCGATCTAGCCATGTCCGTCTGTCCGTCAGTCTGTTTCTACGCAAACTAGTCTCTCAGTTTTTGAGCTATCGGGACAAAACTTTCGCAAAAGTCTTCTTTCTATTGCAGGTAGTATATATGTCGGAGCCGACCGGATCGGACAACTATATCTTATAGCTCCCATAGGAAGGATCGGAAGAAAAAAACTTTAAAAAATTCTAGCTTCGGTGTTTTTTGAAATATTACCTTCTACTTTTGGGGATGTTATTTTTTAAATATTTCTGAATTTCGAATTAATTATTTTAAAAATCGGACTACTATATCATATAGCTGCCATAGGAACGATCGGAAAATTAATGAGAAATATTAGAATATTGAACATTTTTGCGATTTGTTAATTAATAGAAATGATCTGCAAGGGTATTTAAGCTTCGGCTGGCCGAAGCTAGCTTCCTTTCTTGTTTATTATAAAATCGAATCTGGGTTTTTTTTAGAAAAACATTAACCTTCAAAATTAAAACATTTTACAAAGTGTGTCGCGTGTGTAATCTTTATATTCTTGCAGAGGTTTTTTATTCTTTTAGGAAAATTGTAACAGATATGTATTTATTTCGTTAATACCTATTAATTTGCCTAATAACGCTAAAACCTGGCTAGCGCCCACCATTATGCCTTGACGCCATCTAGCGGAATGCATTAGAAACGCTGACTACCTGCTGCTGATGGTGGAGAAATTGATTATTTTAACTGTTTGTCCTTTTTTACTTCCTCTGGTCACTCTCATTTTGTTAATGGAAATTCTGTTATTTATATCGAAGTTGTTTAGCTGAGTAACGGGTATTTAATAGCCGAGGCACTCTGTTATAGCGTTCTCTCTTTTTTGTAATCTGAAACCGGGGTTCTCTCAAAAAATATCTTACATATAGCGCTTACGCAAAAGTCTAGTAGATTTCATTTCATTTGTTTTTTAATCTTCGTAAAGTAAAAACCGTTCAAGTTTTGTTGCGCTCATCTAAGCTTTAACAATTTAATTTAAATAAACGGAGAAACAATTCATATAATTATTGCAGAGTTAAATATATGTACGTTAGGGAAGAATGTGTCGCCTCAAATTCGTTGTCTTTCTGGCTTTGGTTTACCAAATCAAAGCTTTCAATATTTCGCCGCGTCCGAGCGTAGTGATAAATTATCCGTTAAATTCCAATTTAAGTAGTTCCGAGAGGCGAAGCTCATATTTTGGATATTCTGTCGTAATTCGCAATACCAGGTGAGGTGAAGTCCGATATTCTATTCGTTTAGTAAAATTATGTTTGGTGGCATAAAAAAATTACTTTTGGTGTAGTGCTCTTATACACATCAATATAAGTTACCACCCTTTTCCGTTGAAAGATATTAAAAAAAGTTTATGGATCAGAATTTCTTTGGACTACGTTCTAACTATATGCATATTCTTATCATATATAGATGAATGTTTTTTGGAGCTATATAGAGCTTTATAAGAGAACAATTTTATTCAACATGCAAATTAAACGTCATATAATAAAAAATACTAGTTTCAGACTTAAAATTTAAATGTATGAAAAATTACCAAAGAAATTAAATTGGTTACTCAGAGCAAAGATACCAAGTTTGTTTTATTTGGAAGTTTACTGTTACTTATGTTAGTCATGCGCATGTTTTCGGTCTGACTGTATTGATAGATTTGAATATTAGTGCTTCTTGGTAGAACCAGCCCGTCAACCTTTATCTGTTATTGCAGCATCATAGTGGGAGCTCCCCGAGCTGAATCAACCGAGGATTCGCAGAAGGAAATCGACGAGCCGGGGGCGATCTACAAGTGCCTTCTGACCAGCGGTGCCTGCAAGCCGTATATCCTAGACGCTCAAGGCAATATTAATAACTACAGAAATACGTGCCTCACCAACAACTTCGAGCGCAAGGGCTCTCAATGGCTGGGAGGATCAATGGACGGAGGAACAAGGGATACTGACAAGTTGATCGTGTGTGCTCCTCGATTTCGAGCAGAAAGCGGTGAAGATTATCACATGATTGGAGTATGCTACTGGGTACAGAACACAAGGAGTGATCTCGAGACTCCCGATCACGTCACTCGTATTTCTCCACTCCGCATGAAAGCGAAGCAGGTCATCGAGGAGGATATTGATAAGGGCACAAAGGGAAGTTTCCTTTACATACAAGGCGAAATGGGACTAAGTGCCCATGTGACGGACGATAACTCCAGATTTCTGATCGGAGCCCCAGGTATTGACAACTGGAAAGGATCGGTGATCCTTGACTATCCTGAGGACAATTCGTCAGTAAATCACCTAACAGTTCAGAACTATACAACCAATTGTCTTTGGGAGCACAATAAAACGATAGTCCCAGAGCCACAAAGTTGGAACCAGACCGAGGACTCATACTTTGGCTATGCCGTGAGCTCCGGCTATTTTGACAGCTCCAATCCATCTACACTGCTCTACGTGGCCACTGCTCCTCAGGCCAATCTGCAGTCCGGCGAGGCCTACATTTTTAGCTTGGACGATAATGGAAAAACCATACACAAGTTGCACCGCTTCCGTGGCCAACAATTTGGCGAATACTTCGGCTATTCCATTTTAGCGGAGGATCTGAATGGAGACGGAATGACAGACGTCATCATTTCAGCCCCGCAGTACGCTCCGCAGGATGAGGACTCCTACGACAGCGGCGCAATCTATGTGTTTATTAACAAAGGCTCTGTGAGTAATTTGGAGCACTTGATTATGTTTATAGGAAGCTGACTAATGCCTCCCTTTTATTCCAGTTTAACTTTGAGCAGACTATTATTCATTCGCCAGTGGGCAGTGAGGGTCGATTCGGAACAACTCTATCGCGACTAGGCGATATCAATTTAGATGGATTCAATGGTATGTTATGAGACATCTAAAGTTTCAGGTATCTACAAATATTAAATGAATATTGTATTATTCTTCAGACGTGGCCGTGGGAGCTCCCTTTGCCGGAAACGGGTCGGTACTCATTTACCTGGGCGGCGAACATGGATTGGAAGATTCTCCGAGCCAGCGACTGGATGCTCCTTTGCATTCACCTTCTTATTACGGAGCTGACATGTTTGGCCATGGCTTATCCCGCGGATCCGATATAGATAGTAACGGATTCAACGATTTCGTTATTGGAGCACCGAATGCGGAAGTCTCTTATCTGTACAAGGCCTATCCAGTTGTAAAAGTAATTGCAACAATTAATTCGGAATCTCGGGAGATCAAAGCGAGTAGGGAAAATTTGAACATCACTGCCTGTTACAGACTGGATACCAAGGCAAAGAAAATGCAGCAGCAGGATCTAAACATCCGGATTACTATAGACACACAGCTGCAGAGGTTTAAATTCTTCAAAAACCAGACAGAGGTGAACTTCACGGCAACTGCGGGTCTGGAAAACAGTTGCAAAAGCTTTGAGGTTCAGGTTCTTTACAACGAAAAGGACTTATTTACGCCCATCGATTTGGAGATGCACTATGAACTCACAGAGACGGTTTCCGATAAGGAGGGTGAGTTTTATCTTAATACCTTTTAGGATATATTTTGAGTACGTGATCATCTTCTAAAGAGTTTTGCGAAGCCTGCGCGGTTGTTAATCCCAAAGATCCAAAGGTTTCTACGCAGAAATTAATCTTCAGCACGGATTGTGCCTCTGATATTTGTGTTGCTGACTTGCATTTAAGGAGCAAGAACGTGAGGTAAATATTAATAAATATGAAAATAATACGAAATATTAATTTAACTCTTTTATAGTCCCACTTATATTTTGGGAAGTGCCGATACGCTCCGTTTGAATTACGAGATCACCAACAGTGGAGAGACCGCCTACCTGCCCCAGTTCAACGTGACCAGCACTTCGCGACTGGCTTTCGCCCAGGTCCCTGGAAACTGCAAGGTCTTCGAGGCAGTCATGGTGTGCGACCTGAACAATGGACGATCTCTGGCCAACGGTGACAGCGATTCGGTGACCATCAGCTTTGAGGACAGCCAATTCAGCGGACAGTCGCTAGTCATCCAGGCAGAAGTATTCAGCACTGGCTTCGAAAAGAATCCCACGGACAACATTCTGACGAGTGAGATAAGTTTCAAGGAGTTCACCGATATCGATGCCACCGGGTAAGATTCAATAAAACTAATAAAGCAATTACTATCCTATAAAAATACCTCATTACTTTATAGCGGTCCGATCAACGATCAAGTTGTTCTCAAAAAGGAGCCTTACACCGCGGAAATCATCAACAATTACGAGATCAAAAGCCACGGCCCCAGTATTATCAAGGAGTTAGCGGTGTCCCTTTACATTCCCGTTTACTATAAAGCTGCTGATTCCATATCAGCCATACCCATCATACACATATCCAGCCTAAAGATGCAGGCCAATTATGGTTCTCAGACGTTGCCCATACAACTCTTCGACCAGAATAACACCACCTTATCCACAACCCGAAAGCAAAGGGATGTCGATCGTCTGAATGCCCATCAAGAGCACAATTCTAGCATATCCGATCTCCAGACCGACGAAGAGGAAAGTCTACCGATAGAAAACACCATTGTTCTAAACTGTCTGGATAACAAACAGACGATATGCGTGCGAGCTGAATTTCGACTCAAATTTATTCCGGAAACGCCAATAAACCTAAGCTTAAGCTTCAATGTGGATCTGAGCCAGGTGGAGGATTCCTGGGAGTACTTCGTCATCCAGACCAATCTGGGACTGCTCAAGAAGGGGGATCCCAGATCTAGTTCGTTCAAGCTTAACAAGAAGATCAAATCGAATGTAATAGGCAAGGTCATTACGTTGGCCATCTGGAAAATAATATTGTCCGTGATTGGAGGATTGTTACTGCTCGCTGCTTTAACGTATGGTCTTTACAAGGTTTGTATAGAAAAGTTAACAAAGGATTTTTATTTATCAATTTTATTTACTTCCTAGTCTGGGTTCTTCAAACGCGCCAAGAAGGAAGAACTAAAAGAGTATAAAAGAGATATATCTCGAAAGAGTATTGAGGAGCTAAATGAAATTGAGGAGTTGGAGGAGAATAACATGGTCGAGTTTCTAGAGGAAGTTTCCATCTAAGCTAAGTTTAAGAAGTTTAAAAGCCTCAGTTTAAATTCTTAAAGTGTTAATAATTTACTTTAATAAAAATAACATACAATTCTTAAAATAAATAAGTACAATCATAAATATTTTATTAAAATGCATTGTTAATCTTAATCCTTGAAAATAGTTAAAAACTAATTTAAATTATTAGCACACACTGGCCAAACATGAACCATTTTAGCGATCTTTTCATATATACCTATAACATTTACTCTATGTATATACAATAATATCTAGTGCCGCCGTAAAAAGGCAGCTGCACTTAGAATACACGAATTTCTTCCATATATGTAAGCAAGTAAAAGTGGACTGACTATCTAAGGAGACATTTTACACACATATGTCAACACACATTACAGAGAAGAGCTGATATTGTAGTGAACCAGGCTCAGAGTTACAGGTATAAGTACAATAGGCTGCGATAAGTTTCTAATTGAGTTGAGGTATGTGCTCATGATCGGCTAGGATAAAGTAGAGTGGTTGCTTTCAGATATGTTTGCGTGAAAGTTGCACGTAACGTTGCAATATGTACGACTGACTAGACCTAGGAGTTTGTAAAAGTACCAAATATGTGAATATGTGCTTCGCATAACTCAGGCGTTTTTCAATATGCATTTCTTTGGTGGTTCTTCTATTGACAACAAACGAAAACAGATAATAGGTATATATTTCTATGCTATCTCGCCCGAAGAGTGTACAACAACAACAGCAACAATGGCGCTTTCTAAATAAATACTTGTATAAAAATACAGAGAATTTGTGAACTATGTATTGTCAAAATCATTAACACGTACGTAACTTGCGATCCCCTCGAATAAATATGCATAATCTCTGATATCTGTTTCCTAAGTAGATCCCAACGCTAGTTTTTTAACATTTTTTTTATCACCCAACTCCTATGACTAGTTCTCCCATTGAGCACAGTGTCCATTGATTTAATCCTCCTCCTACTTCGCTAACACATTGTCTCGTTGAACGGCGGGTCTTTCTCCGAATCGGTGCTGCTCTTGATGTTCGACGACAGCTTGGCGATCTCGTCCTGCACCAGATGGGTGCTAATCTGTGGTATGGACAGGGCCGGATTGCTGCTCTTGGCGGACGACCCGATGGACTCCTCTGTGCTAGAGCTGCTCTCCTTCAGCACATTCATGCCCAGCTTGCTGGCAAAGGGCTGCGGCTTGAGTGTGGAAACCAGTTTGGCCTGACCAGCCTGGGCAGCGGCTTCCGGAGTCTGAGGCACTGCCTCACCGACCGCCGGCTGCGACGGCTTGCCCTGGTCGACGCTAAACTGTTTCTTCAGCTGCATCGGACGCGCTGGCGGTGCCGGCGCTGCCTGCATCGTCACTGGCCCCGAGGCGCTGAGGTCCAGCGAGCTGGAGCTCTCCTCCCGCAAACGCCTGCCGTCGGCAGCTCCCACCGAGGCGGTACGGATGGGCTGGTAACGTGCCGTGGCAGCGCCGCCCACAGCGCCAACGCTGATGCTAATCCCCGTCGCCGAGTGCGAGTCGCCGGCATCCAGCGAGGGCTCCGCCGTCAGCGAGGGAGTGTCCACGTTGTAGGAGCCCGTCAGCGAGGTGTTCGTCTCGTTGGAACTCTGCTTGATGAAGCGGTACGGATGGGCCGAGTAGTCCGTCTCCGTGCTGGAGTTCTTCTGCAAACTCTCGCTAGACTTCTTGAACAGCCGCCCGGTAGCCTCGTACGGAGCATTGAGGAAGTCACTGGTGGCCCGGGTGGGCACCAGGGGCGAGGGATACGTTTGCTGCTCCATCGAGGAGTTGCGCTGCCAGGGGCGCTCGTTCTTCAGCTGAAAGCCGCTCGAGACGACGACCATGGCACCGCAGCTACCGGCTCCACTGGTGTCGCTGCTATCGCCACCGCCGGCGCCGCCACCTCCGACACCGCCACCCATCAGGTCGCCGTCGACCGAGGGCTTCGAAGGCGACAGCTCCACGGCGGTCTCGCGTCGCAGCGGATAGCGATGGCTGTAGTCTATGGATACGCCGATCTGTGGAGGAGGAGAAGTTGGCTAAGGAATCCTATATATCCTATTCGAAACCCACCTCAAATCCCTGGGCGCTGGCATCGATGGAGCCGCGTGACTCAATCAGTCCCTCCAGTATCTTATAGTCGTTCTCCTCGCACTCCTTCAGGTGCTTCTTCTCCAGCAAGGCCGCAGCCTCGGCCCGCGACATTTCGGTTTTGGGGCGGTCCAATGAAGCTGTCGGTTCAACGGGGGGACGGAAAAAGCAAACATGAGTGGGGGTTACGCATTCAAAGAGGAGGAGAGGATTCTTTCCCTTTTGGAGGCGGCGGAAGCAAGGCAATGATACGGGCGCTGCGCATTCACCCGGTTAGTTATTTACACTGTGCTTACGGATAACTTGGGACTCAGTTCGCTGTGCTCCTGGCGGCTTACCTTTGTTGCTCGGCAGCGAGACCGTGGGCGATGCTATCATGTGGCAGACGCTCTCCAGCTCGTCCGTGATCGAGGTATACTCGCTGTGCAGTTTCAGCAAGATATTTCTGGAGGGTTTCGCATGCAATACTGATTTACCTAGAGTTCGGAGTTCGTGGTTAGGTTCAGAGAAACGATGTGTGCGAGAGAACGAACAACAGTAAGGACTCGATTGGTTAATGGTTAATGGTCAAGTGCTAATTTGTTGGCCAAATCGGTTTGCTGGATTGGTTGGTTTGGATACAAGGTTTTCGGGTTAGGTGGGATGGCATGACGGGATTAGTAGCCTGAATTTAGAGCGCAAATCTGAGGCCGTTGTGGTGTTCATCCTGCGATGGCTTCTTACCGGGATGTGCGGATCCGGATCCCTGGCCTGCGGGTGCATCCTTGTCGCTGTCCGGTTCGGATTGCGTGAGGCTCATCTGGCGGCGGGACAAGGAGGCCAGCTGGTTGAGGCTGATGTGCGACCGGTTCATGTCCGCTCCGGTGAGAGAGTACGTCTCCGAGTTGCGGCGGCACAGGGAGACCGTTCGCTGTCGGAGGGCCCGGTGTCTGGCAGCTGTTTGTGCGATGGGAAGATACATTTACAAGGATTCTTGGGATTCTCACACAGGTACAGAGAGCACAACACAAAAGGACACAGAACAGAGGAAGCAGGAAAAGTTGACGGCTAGGCTAAATTACCCTCAAAGTTGATGTCTGGCGCCGCATCGTCGGAATTGTCGCCTCCCACGAGCGTCTGGTCGTCATCGTTGTTGCCCATCGGTGTGAGGGTGTCCTTGCTCTCGGTGCTGGCACCCGTATCCTGGCGAACCGTCACATAGGGCGTCCGCTTCACTGTCTCACAGGTCGAGGGTCGCTGTGAGAGGGGCAGGTAGATGTCCGAGTCCGTCTCCGATTGCATGGACGCCTTGCGGACCACCTGCTCGTTGAGCGCCTCCCGGGACTTGACCACCTCGTCCGGCTCCTCCGGCAGCGGCACCACCTCAAAGTGCGTGCCCTCGTCGAAGATGTACGCATCCGGCCGGACTTCGGTCAGCGAACGATTGAAGCGGCGCCGGGTGGTCACCTGGATGGATTCGCCAATTGGATCGTAGTACAGAAAAAAAGGGGGATGTCATCGATTCAATGGTTTATTGCACGAAAAACGTAATTTAACATGATAAAATATTAAATATATAAATAAATTAAAAGAAATCTGTTTAAAAAAATCTCTAAAACTTTTATGAAACCTAGGGATTAATATTAAAATCAAATATGAAACAATTTATTGAACATAAGACATGTTTGAACATTATTAAAGTGTAAATATACAAATAAATATTGAGGTGTCACATAAAATGATTAGGTCCTTTTGCATAAAGGGTAATCTGAATCAAATAACCTATAACCTATTCTAGTTTAAAAATTCTACTGTCATTTGAAGCAAACTATTTCTTTGATCCCACAATATCAAGTTCAGAATGGCACTTTCTGTCCCAGTGTGCTTGGTATTGCAGCGATATGTAATTCAAACGCACCTGCAGCGAATTTAAATTCAGTCCGGCGCCCAGGCCAAGTGGAACGATGGCTCCTCCGCCGCCACCACCACCGCCTCCGCCACCATTTCCGCCCGGTCCTCCCGGTCCAGCCTCCGTGTCCGAAATCGAGATGGTGCGCATGCGCTGCATCTCCCCCGGAATGTTTATCGTCGAGCCGCGCAAATCATCCGTGCCGGCGGTGTGTGTCGACATGAAGCGATGTATAACGGCCAAATGGGAGAGTATCTGCTCCGAGGACTCCTCCATCTTCCGCAGGCGGAACTCGATGTTCTGGCAAATGAACAGAAATATCAAATTAAAAGTGGTGTTAAATCGAATTAAATTTCCCCCGAATATATGTGGAAATATACTGTATATGTTGAACAATAGCAGAGCGAAAGCTGCAACGGCTGCAGTAAATGGGCAGTCGGACGTGTCCAATTTTCAATTCAAATGTTAAGACGTGCTGCTGTCAGAACCCATGTCATTTGGGGTAACACGAATCACACAGGATATTTGCATAAAAATGCAAAGACACACAGGATTGGGGTTGTCAAAACAGAGGGGAATGATAAAGGACTGATGGCTACGCACCTGAACGGTGGCCGTTTGTATGTTCTCCTTCTGATTGATGTCCTCGATTTTCTGGGACATGGTCTCCACTCGCTCCGTGGTGTTCTTCACCCGCTCGTCCGTCGACTGATTGAGGATGATTTCCTGCTCATGAAAGAAGCCCTCGACGCACTCCTCCTCGAAGTCGTACAGCCGCTCCAGGTCGTCCTTCTCGAGGAACAGCTTGAGACCGTTGTCCCGCTGCACCTCCAATCCTGCGGAATGCCGATCAAGTGGACAATTGTTAAAGTCGGGTTCCGGAAAACAGAGAGTAAGCCAAGGATTGACAATAACAACAGCGCCCGGGGGAAATGGCAAATGGCAAATGGCAAATGTAAATCCACAATGGAATCACAATCACAATAACAAGTGAGGCAAATCGTTTCGGCATAACCCAATTAGGAGGTGTTGTTATCGTCATTGTTGTTGTCGCCAAGTGGCAAGGTCGATTTCAATACAAAAGAGCAGGTGGCGTATACGTAATGCAGTTAGTTAGTTAGTTACAGAGTTACAGAAGCACACACACAGTCGACACACAGTTGTCGGGGAAGGCACGCAGGGAGAGAAGTTAGATATTTGTACATTATTGCTGCTCGACTCACAAAGCCTTCAGACACGATTGACTCACAGGGAACAAAGCTAAACTTGCTCATCCCGGGCTCACCTTTCGCCTTTCGCACACAGTACTTGAGCAGCGAGTAGAAGTGGCACAGCGCGATGAAGGGCGGCGGCAGGACGGGCTTCTGTTGGTACTCCATCACCACGGTGAACCGCTGGAACATCCACACCTAAATGGGGAAAAGCAAACCAATCTGTTTAAATGCCTTATACCAAATATTGTTTTTTCTTAGTTCGAAAATTATACTTTAGCATTTGTCGAAAAAAAGAAGAAACACCTCTATGTACTTTGTCGTCGTAATTCTAATAAAATTCGATGTTTTCTGGTTGTTCAATAATTAAGTACTAATAAAAAAAAAATAAAATTATTTTTAGGAAGTTGGTTAAATTATATTAAGTGGATGCAATGGGGGTTTTGGTATATAACTCCCCCCTTCTTAGGTGGAAAATATATGAAAAAGTTTTATTGAAAATGTCCGCAACAAAAAAGACCCTCAAATGACATCCCCTGACAACCAAATCCAACCAAAATTCCGTTATCGTCCGACCTCTTACTTAAGTTAAAAGCTTAGTTGTAACCTTTTATGTTTTATGAAACCCGCAAGCATTCGATCTCACTCACCTGATGCGAAACCGAGTTGACCTCGTTGAAGATGTTGTTGAACACGGCGATGAGCAGATTTATCAGCAGAATATTGGCAATCAAGAGGTACATGGACATGGTTATCGGCGTTACCCAGTGCCCTGAAATCCAATTAGTCGGGGTGTGTTAAAAGTGCGGCATCAATATTTTTTCAGAGCCCTCCTGCATACGGGGATATACATATGCCCAATACTCACCAGTGACGCAGCCCGGCTGGCTGGGATCCTCGCCGCAGGGAGGGTCGATATCGCCGGCGAACACCTCTCCGTACAGCATGAAGTAGGGCTGGAAGGTGACCTGGACAACGATAAATTAAAGTGACCATTAAAGCGCCATCTGACGGAAGGGGGCGGCATCGCCATCGAGACACGAAATGGCCGGGCGTAATTCAATTTGCGCCCGTCGCCCAACATTAATGCAAGTTTTACACATTGAAACACAGTTTGGTTATTTTTAGCTTATTTTATATCACCTGACGGTATCTGTGTGTGTGAGTGGGTTTGGGCGAGTGTTTTTTTGGGGTGGTGTCTGTGTGTTTTCGGGATGCAACACAGTTTGATTTCTAATTTTCCGGGGCATTTCTTTTCAAATTGGAACCAGCACAGCATGCTATCTATTTACATAAAGATCTCATTTGCATTTAACAGCTGGATCAGGTATAACATTATTCAAAGGCTCCTTAATTAAAACTGTAATGTTTGCCTTATAGCTATCATCTGTCATTCATTAAACAAACATCGATGCTGACCTGGAGCTAAATATTTGCATTAAACTGCTGCGGGCAGCTTAAATTATTTTGCATGCAAAACTAAAGAGGATACTATGGGGATTAAATCAACGGTGGTGAAGATGTCGAGCAGCAAAACCAACACATAAATTAAAAAAAAAGAAGAGGTCTGTATATAAATATTCATAAGCGAACACAGAGTACACACATTTACCTTAAAGAGGCAAGGAGAGCTGGTCTAAAATACTAGTTTGTACATCATGCAGAGTATATGGATTGAAATAAATGCATTGAACCAGAAAGGAAGAGTGGAATTTCGGCACGCCGAAGCCGGCCTTACCCTTGCAAATTCAACTCGGATCGGGTTTGTCGATCTTAAGTGGAGGTTTCTCACTCGGACTTATCGGTATCCTTTGCAAGAGTCGAGAGAGGGGAAATAAGGAATGCGAGATTTCGGAGCAGAAGTAAGCTTAGGGGTTCAAGAGACAGAGGAGAGAGCAAAAAATAGTTAAAAAATTGTAGGGGGATATAGTCGAAAGTCCAACGGGGAAAGTAGGGGGTCCATATAAAACTCAAGTTGAAACAGAATACTGGGCACACACTGATCTCCATCAAGACACAACATCAACTATAGACCACACGAATATGCAGCTGAATATATTTAATATTTTTTTGTTTTTTTTTTTGGGATTCGCAGCTAGAGCATTCTACAGTCGGCTCTCTAAATAGCAAACCAAATTCAATCAGTCAATCACATCTTGCGTTACATTTGTCAAGTTGCTGCTCGTCAAATTCGAATGCTCATTGTGGATGGGTGGAGCTGTAGATGTTGCCGCCGGAACCGTGGAGCTGGTGGTGGTGGTGGTGCTGGCTGCAGCGGTGGTCGCAGGTGGTGCACCCATCGTATGATAGCCACGATGATAGCTGGAGCGGGTATTATGCCCCAGGGCACCTAGAAATCCGGGTGCCGTTATCGAGCCGGCAATAACCTGGCATTTTCGGCATCGATTCGATTCGAAAAACATTTAACGGGCGAATTATGCGAATTAAATGGCAAAGGTGAGGCGAGTGAAAGTGAAAGATTTGAGTTCGAAAAATGTAGGGGACAAATGACAGAATGACAGAAAGAAAGAAAGAAGAGTACAATACGAGACAGTCAATTTAAGCGGCATTAGTTCGGTGATTTTGATTAAATTCTAATGGTCAACTACTTAATGTAAAGTGAGTGGAACGGAGCGCCAATGGACAAAACTACTCGTACTTAAAAATGTTTTGCTTGCACCACTACTGAGGAACGCAGGCCAAAAACTTGCTTTGCTTGCTATTAAGTAAATGTATGTACTCCGCATCGTTAGTTAAATTTATAGGTAAAGCTGCAATAGAAATCGTAATCGTCGAAAAAACCACACGCTCTTTTTCCGTGTGTGTGTCTACTTGGGAGTCTGTTACACACAGATCAGGAGTTTAGTTTATTTACAGGAAATCAAGGGAGCATTAGGTATTATGATATAACGTACCTCCTTGATAAGACTCCAGGTGGGCTGTTTGTTGGGGTACAGAATCGCCTGTCTGCTGACCCCGAAACTCATCAAAACGACGGCCAACAGGACCACGAAGTATATCATGTTCTTCACCATTTTGCCCATCATGGTTACCAAAGGTCCTGCGAAAGATTATTCGAGATTAACTTTAGTTAAAACGCTTGATTTAAAAGTATATTGAGTACATCAGGCATCGCTCTTTATTCATTAAATATATCTGGTAAATACTAAATTAGTTTTAATACCTATTAGGAACATATAAACTTACCCAGATATTTATTCACACCAAGGATGTTCAGGATGCGCAGGTACCAGTAGATGCTGTCCACGCAGTAGATGACCCTTCCAATGTCCATGGTGGTCTCCCGGAACCGAAATGCCAGGCCGATGACGAAGAGTATTATGGCGGCGCCGTCGCACGGATTCCACATATTCCACGCCCACACCGAGAATTTATGCCTGCCCGCCGAAGCCCATTCCACATCCGAATCCGAATTAATGGAGCCCATCGAAGACGCGTTAATTCAAGCGTGAGAGGCACATATTGAAGACAAAAAGTAATGGAAATGCGCACAACTGTGAAAATCCGCCCAGCTTCATTTGCACTCATCGCCAGATGCAATTAAGCACCAATGATTGAGGTGTGCAGGGATGGGTAGTGGATATGGGATAGGGGTCTACTTACGTAATGGCCACCGGTTCGGAGGATATTATTTCGCGTATCTTTTCAAAGCCCAGCGTTGTGATATATGCTATTGAGTACCACTCCTGCCACCGCGGCATCTGCTCCATCTTCACCAGCACAGTGAAGGAGAACATTATGAGAAAGAACATGTAGGCAATCTGAAAAGACCAGAAAAATAATTAAAAACCTCAAAAACTCATACCCAGGGGCCATACTCATCCAAACGACGGCCAACCTCAAAAACTTAAAACCCAAGGGACATAAACTCGAAAAAAAACTTTGCATTTTAAGCAAACTTTTTTCTTAACATAAATTTAATAATTAAATCTAAATTATGAAAAATATCTTATTTTTAAAATGTTTAATTGTGCAATAATTTTTAAATCTTTTTAAAACTTTTTTATCATAAACGTTAATGCTTGTGTTTTCAGTGTATGGTCTTAAAATTGTTGTTTTTGCTTGCAAAAATTGTTGCCTTTATCTTTCCTTTAAACTGGCAGATATTTTTAAGAAATATTATACAAAATATTTAAAACTTAATAAAATAAATAATTTTCGGTTATTTCTTTTCCTCTATACTTACAAATATATTTTAAGAAATATCATACAAATATTTATAACTCACACAAATTTTGCTACAGTGCACCAGCACCGGAAATGAAACATACGACCCTTAGCGAGCTCGACAGTAATTTCCGCCACTTACCGAATCGGCCCAGAACTTGGTTATGGGCGCCGTGTAGAACTCGTAGAACTTCTTCTTCAGGCGCAGCGGCTGGTGCTGTTTCACCTCATTGTACTCGGAGAGATTGAAGAACTCCCTGAATTGGGCGGGATCCGAGTCGGTGAGCGAGACCTGCGTAGATATATATACGAACGATATTAGTGGGCCTGCGAGGACGAAAAGGGATTGCGGAGAAGCGTTCGATAGTTTTCGGCCTTAATTAAATCATCAATGTGCAGTGAACATTCAAAGAGAGCCACGTGGGGATATATTGTACATTGGGGAATTGCGTATACGCCCCATCGAATCAGCGTGTCAAATGTGATTTGGTTTGCTTTCTAATTAATTTGCTGGTGTTTAAGGCTCGGTTTGCTGTTGCTATTTATACGCGTGTTTAGTTTCCAGACACAACATGCAGAACAAGTTAATTAATTGAAGCATTATGCAAAACAAAATGGCTTAGCCGCAGGGTATTCGAAATTTGTGCTGACAAAAGGTAGCATGAGCAACTGTTCTACTGAGGAAAATCGAAGAGGATTTAATAAAAGGTGTAGATATTGTTGAATTTGAAAATTGGCTACGACTAATTATTTTTGGCAAATGAAGCTACGAAATGCGCATTCCTAGAGGAATAAAATGAGGCAAACTACGAAAGCCAGTTACGGAAATGCCATTGAAATCAAAATAAAAAGATCTCGAGGGAGGAAAAATTATATCCGGGTTCAACTAACTTTGGAGGGCTGTTCTTCCGCTCCAGCAGTGAGATTAACCTGTAAATTGATACGATACAAGTACTGGGACATTAGAATGGCGTGTGGGGTTTGCAATTTATCCATCTCTATATAGATGGGTGTTTTCGAGTAACTGATGTGCTGACTGGGTGATACCATTTTGTCATATGTACGGGGTTTTTATGGTTCATTGTGTTTGCCTACGAATCGAACTACTTGTAGAATAACCAAATGGGAATTGAAAATAAACAAGGGGGAAACGGCATTTCTTATTTATTTTTTCTGCTCTGTGCTGTCATTTCAAGAATACAAAATGTTATGGTTGAGGAAAATGGCAGTCATATCGCATTCTGAGTCGGAGGTTTCAAAGGTTTCGATGAAAAAAAATACGAGTAGGTGGTGTATGAAAGGCGGTTTATGTTGTGGGTGGGTTGGTTTTTCGTTTATTGTTTTTTGTTTTGTTTTGTGGAATTACTCACTTTGCCATTTTCGTGTACTTTTGTATCGCGCACTGAGTAAGTATCCGCCAATAGAGCCTGCAACGGTTCACGCACATTTTTCGCATTTATCAGATAGGGAAATCACTCTTTAGTTTTACTTTCTAATCTATTTGAGCGGTGATCTTTGGACAAAATATTTGAGTTTGAGTTCAGATGAAAGAGGAGTAGAAGTGTGTGTGTTTAGGTACAGATTTCCAAGATGATTTGTGGTTACAAGAAATGTTTTGAAGTTGAAAGTATTGAAAATATTGGTCAATAACTTGTTCACACATACATAGGCATTGCACAGATAAACATATACATGTGGGGCAACCAAACTACTATTAAATACTTAAAATCCCCGCCTGACCCCCGTCCACTTCCACATTTGCACTCAATGGACTTTAATTTGATTCGGTGATTAAGGGATTAGCCCCTTCTTATGGGAAAATGGGTGGTGATGATGGAGAGCAGGCAGTGCAGCGTGTAACTGAAAAACAATATTTGTACAAGTGCCGAGCTTCCTCTCCACTCTTTCACTCAGTTCAGTTTGACATAGACCCCCTGGAATAGTGGCATTTGATGTGGTTGTGTTGGCTTCACAGAGTGGTCTGGTGACTGGGAATGAGTTCGTGCCGAGATTATTACTTAATTTAACTTTAAACCAATGATTCCCATTATACTGCTAATGGAAATTCGCACTTAATTCGAACCAAAGGAGGACTTTAAAATTTTATGGAAAGCATTAGAGGCAAAAGATACTCGAATTTAACGAGGGCGTGGGCAATATTCGGTCACTTACATCTGTTGAGTTCGAGGCACTCTTAAAAGAAGGCGAACTGTTTTCAGCTGGCATTAGCTTGCACTTTAGGAAAATACATATTCACAGGATAGTTAGTGGAGAAAATACTTTACATTAAGAGTTGATTTTCAAATGATTTTCAAATGAGCCCTCAACTTTTATATGGCCCACTTTAAAGACAACTGACTTGAACTAAACCCTTGAACGAGCTGGGATACAACACGTGTTCGTGCTCCCGCTTGGTTGGGCCCTTCTAAAAATAATATAATTAACCGATATAATCAATAAAAATAAAACATTTTCAATGAGTCATGGGGAGGTATGTATGAAAATTCATACATTTCCGAAGTAAATGGAGCAGAAAAAGTGTTCAAAAAAAAAAACTATTAATTTTCCTTTTCGTTGATTTTTAGAGCACCTAAAAAGTGTCCAGAAATTGGTAAATATTTTTGAAACCAAAGAACCTCAAGTAATAATGATGTAGAATTTTAAAGCATACTTTTCAGCACCGTCAAAAACTTGATAGTTCAAGCAGTTGATTGAAAATCTATGCAAGTCCAAATTCATAAGTACATGTATACCAAATAACGATACAGACCAAAGCACAAATGGTTACGTAATAAATACAGTGTGAAATATAGTTTAGTTCCGATATAAAACAAACATAGTAAATTACATACAGTTGTGTGATCTGGCGACCAGACAGAGACAGAGATACAGATATAGAGATAGAGTCAGAAACAGAGCAGAGACAGCGAAGAGAACATATAGGTGTGTGTATGCATATATAGATATAGACGAGTTGAACACCAAAGTAACAGGAAGTCATGTAGTTGGCTTAGATCTGATTGGTTGTTACTACCTTGTCGCGATTATTAGCACCCGCGCCCATCCTATATCTCAAGGAAATGGATCTTTTGGCTTTTAAAAGGGCGCTCTATAAACAGACAGATTTTTGGATTTAGGATTGATGAACAGCAGAGCGATAAATCGGTAAGTGGTTAATGGTAAACGTTAGATGTCAGATTAGTAGAATAAATTGAATAACTAAACGCTGACGCTGAAAACGTATAAGGCACACATTTAGGACTGGCACATACAGACAACGAAACCAAATCAAATGGAAAGTTAGTAATAAATGAACAAAAATAACATTTCGGTTTGCCAAAGCATTAGGCCAAATACCTCGGCATCCGGCTGCGATCGATCCGAGTCGTCATTGTCCAGATTCTGGTTCTCCAGATGCTCCTCCTCAGTCTGCGGCATCTGCTGCAGCTCCTCCTTCGACTTGAAGTCCAGCTGCCTGATGTAGAAGGGCATCGCCAGACCCAAGATGACCTTGAAGAAGCAAACACAGAATAGGTAATTAAAGTAAGTTATATATTAGGTAGTCTTACCTTAAAGTTGGTATTCTTGCGGGTTCGCAGGCCACCCATCCAGAGATCCGCCAGGATCACCTGGCTGCACGGATGAGCTAGCAGGGCACGATGGTTGGCCGCCACAGCCAGGGAAAGGCAGCTCTGATTCGACCAGGAGTGCAGCTCACAGGTGAGCAGCCTTTGAGCCTTTTCCGCATCCTGCCGGTAACTAAAGTCCAGCAACTTGTTGCCTAAGACAAAGAAATTAAATTAAATATAAAATAGGGTTTTCAGTTAATAGAGTTCTATAAGTAGTTCCCATTAAATTTTATTTACTAACTGTTAACCCCTCAACCGACCTTTGCTCTCGAACTCCTTGGCATAGGAGCGCAGCTCCTCGTAGATTTCCGTGTCCAGGTCGTCCTCGGCCGCCTCGTGGGCCATGGCCTTGTATAGTTTGCAGGACACAAGCGACTTGGCCAGCGCCTCCTCGCCGTGCGTCCACATCAGCAGCGCCATCTGTTGTCGCTTGGTCAGCACGGCCCAGATCTGGAAATCAACAACTTCGATGTGCAACAGGGCGGATGAGTGATTTGGCTGAAAGTCGGCTTACCAGCAGCTCGTTGAAGGGGAACTCGAAGAGGGCCATTTCCGAGGTGAAGGGCAGCAGGCCGGTGACCAGGCTCAGCGAATTGGCTCCGGCATATCGCTGGTACTGGTAGGTGGATGACTTGCGGCAGGCGTTTGCATAGCTATTCATAACCTTGGCGTAGATGGGCCGGAACTTGCGGCGCGTGTAATAGGATCTGTGGGGAGGCGGGCAGAGTGGGTTAGTTACTTTTGTTGACCGGCGGCAGCAATCTAATGCTCCCGACGATTTGCCTCAGTAATTTCGCATTGTATCTGCTTTACAAAAAAATATTCTCAACCAACTGATGGACATCCGCTGCTGCAGGGAGAATTGAATAACAATGACTAAAACGGCTCCATTTCGATTGTGTTTTTTCAGTTCTTCCACGCCCTTTGTTTGCTCACGGCTTAAGAGATTTCCAGCGCGAAATGTAAATGTAATTTGGTTTGGTTTGGTCTGGACTCTCAAGAACAAATTTATTGGCCTGGCCTGGCTAAAATTCGGAAGCACCTGGCGGCCTTTTACGAGCGTACAATTAAATTCAGCACATCAACGCAAATGTCCATAAATTATTTATGACATATAAAAGGCAAATCAATTGACTTGCCCCCTGAACCGGCAGGCACAGCCTCCATTCGAATTTTATGTTAATCAAATTGCAAAACTTTAACGCTTTTAATTACGCCCAGCTTGGCAGCATTCTGAGCCTGTTCTCGACATTGACGACACATTTAAATGTCTAGAGTCTAGACGTTGAGAACATGGCAGCAACAGTCAGCCAAAGCAGCCGAAAGCCAGAAACCAGAGGTAAGCCAGCCGAGCGAGAAAAGGCCAAGGACCGAATCTGAAAACCCTAATTTAATATAAACACATCAGTTGTGACGCCGGCTCATTGGCCAGATGGCCTTTTGGCCATCTAGATGGGCATTTGTCAGATAACTTTCGGCCATGGCAGGTCCTTTGATTAAAGCACAAAGGCCAGAAATCACGGAAACTGGGGTTCGGCTACCATGGCAGAATAACAAACAGAAGAGAGAACTACAAAAGACAAGTAGTGTCAAATTTGTTTGCTTATGGTTCAAATAAAAAGGGGATTCAATACGCTGAGTAAATAGGAGCTCAACTTCATTTCAAAGTGGCTTTATTGAAAATAAAAAGGATTTAAGAAACTACCAGTGCCAAGGGTCCAATTTAAATAGATTGAAAATCAATACAAAATGTTCTTAAAATGTTATCATAATATTAATTTAGTTTTGTGCCTTTTTGTTAAATATTTTAATTAAATTTTCGTAGCCTTAACCAGACTGAAACTGAAAGATTTAAATGTTTTAGCTTGCCCAATCAAGCCAAGTCAACTTGTTAGGGCCACAATTTTGTGCATGCTTTTTAATTAAATTGAGTGATTCCAGAGAGCGGTCAGTTGCTTAACCAACGTGTTTTTATTGAAACCACAAACCGTTTCCAGGGGTCGGCCGTCGGCAGTAGGGAGTCCCTGACCCAAGCAGCCGCAACTTATGAGCGATATTAAACACCATTGTGGTCGCCGGAGCCGCGTTAACTGAATTTAAGCAGCCACCGCGTTTTCGCCTTGCTGGCAAAATATTAATGCTGCATAATTAAGGGGTGCTTTGCATTTCTGCTCCGGCATCCTGTTCCCTTTGACTTTTAGCCCTGCTCAGCCTCGGCTCCTTTCTGCAGCATCACCGGCATCAACATGACAAAGCGGAGCGACCGCCGACTGCCAGGCAACGAGGTTCTTGTTAACTTGATGTGCAAACTTATTACGCTTTCATGAACAAATTTTTCAAACATCAAGTTTAATCCGCAACACGTTAAGGGATGACTTTGGCCCATTGGGTCAGCGAATCGCGTCGACTTCTACCCCTTTTTGGGGAAAGTAAAAGCACAAAAGTTTTGGGCCTAGCTGGCGAGGTGTTCTTTTGTGGTTTATTAAGTTTTCTTAATTTTGTTTTGCATTTCTTAAGTGATTCAATTAACATTCCCCTTTGGGAATGTCACAGTTAAGTAAAAAAAATTCCTATTTATAATTTCATTTTATTTTATTATTTTTAAGGAGGATTCACTTTATGAATTTCTTAAAGATTGGTCAAAGAAATATTGAGTCTATAAAGGCCTATAACATCTGAGACTCTTACTGAAGTAATTAAAAAGATTTCAAGTTGTTTCCTGAGCTATTTTTCTAGGGATTTCTGAATGATGAACAAAGCTGAGAATAAAGAGGCTTATCAATTTCTCTTCCAGGATAAACATTCCTCCCCCATTTAATTTTGGCTATGGAAAAAGTAACAGCTGGAAAAGCTATAGCTATAGCACTGCACTCACCGATATGCGCCGCCCATTAGTTTATTGATCACCAGGCCGATGTCGTGGAGCGTGTAAATGTAGCCCTTGGGTATGTGCGGTCGGACATCGCGCAGGATGTATCTAAAGGGGCGGAATGGGAGGGAACGGAACAGGGACAATGTTCAAAATTTACATAGGCCGAAAGCAAAATATTTGCGGGGATGTGGTCAGAAGGGTCCACGTTCGACTGTCACTCACCCCAGCGTGTTGGCCGGACCGTGTTTGGTATTGTAGAGCTCCTCGAGGCGCGGTATTGTTAGAAATTTCTTCATCGAAACGCCATTCTCGAGGAGTAATTTGACAAAATCGATTCTATCGTGCTCCAGAGCCTGCATCATGGCCTCGTCCAGGGCGCCTGGGAAGACATCATTGTAATTTAAACAAATGCAAGGGGGATAAAAACCCCTCGGGGTCCTGGGCTCAACACCCACCATTGGGCCATTCCTGGCCGTAGACGAATATCTCGCTGCGCGCTATGTCCACCCGATTCCACGTCAGGGCAAGACTCAATTGCTCCGGCGGACTGAGATGCTGCGACTTGAAGAGGGCCGTTAAGATGGTCTGATCCAGCTCCTGCGCCTCGCCCTCGGGCTTTTCCTGTATGCGAAAGACGGTAATCTGGCGGAGAAATTGAAATAAAAAATATATGTATTTATATGTACCGAGGTATATAAAAAACGCAAAGTATCTCTTAATGTAGCCCCCGTCGCACATAATTTGTTTGCCTAGGCATTGCCCCCGGGCAAGGACATCCTAGATCCTGCCGCTCATTCGACTCGAGCTCATTCAAAAACCAATTAAAATCCTAATAACAGCTGCGGCGGAATTGACGAAATGCCAGCAATTTTGGCATACAGCCCACAAGAATACCCGCACTCGCAGGAAACTGTGTTCCTTCGCGCTGATTTAAAATTCATTACACGTTCAATTGAATTTTGTAGCCTAATTATTTCAACGGGTCTACGAGCATTAATTAAAAATTTAAATCGCGGCGCGTAAAAGTCTCAAGTGATTGAAAAGTTGGCCTCACACTCTGGCCAATTTGAAGCTTCAATCTAACGGGCAACTTAATTGAGCAAAGCCCCGTTGGGTTATGCGATTTTAATTGATGGCTCATACCTATAAATACATTCAGGTGAAATTCCCATGGGGCAACTTTCTACACTTCGCTGATAAAAATATTAAATAATTAATAAAGGCACTGAAGGGCAAGCGTATAGGCATTTTACTAAAATACACATGTTTATTTTGAACATTACTATTAAATTTGGCGACTTTAAGATTTCCTCTTCATGCTACTTTGTATTTTCCTACACCCATTCCAAATGTATTTGAAACGCATTTAATTTCTCACTCTTCAGACTTTTAATCTAATTAAATAGTTTCAAACAGAAAAATGCATACACAGAAATTCCATCAGCTAATCATTAAATGACATTACTTTTACTATCCCACCGCGCAATTAATTATGAGATTAAAGTTGTTGTCTCATTTCTCACCTGGGGCCTACACTTTAATAGCTTTATGGGCCAGAACTTAAGCCTAGACTAACAGAAATAACTAACTTACCAGATTCTTGTTCCTTGTGCACTGTAGCAGCTCCTGGTAGAGTTTCTCGGATTGGTCCAGGCCCACTTCGAAGGTCTTCTGTATGGTCCCGATGAGGTAGTCCCGCATGGACTCCAGTACCGGCTGCTCCTCCCCATCCGAGGCATATCTACATATAAATGTTGTCAGATACAGCATTGTCACAACTCGAGAGGGCGCCCAATTATTCAGACTAATTAAACAACCAAAAATTAAATGTGGCACACAAAAAGGTTCGTTGGGGGATTGGGTGGTGGCACCGTTGTGTGTGAGGTGGCGTTGGGTAAATTTAAATAATTTGCCAAATGTCGCGTGCCAACTGCCGCTGGTGGGGTCAAAGGACATGCCGACATGTTCTTAATTAAATTTACACAAACTGCGGTTTCTCATTAAGTTGCCCCGGCACACGCTTTAATTCCAGACAAGTGCCACATAACATATATCTTAAAGCTAAGCACTACGCACCGTATCCGAGTCTACTACATCCACCCTCTACTCACTTGTGGACGAAGGCCAAAAGGTCGGCGGCACGCCCGGATCCGTCACATACGACCACCGGAACCGGCGGCGAATCCGTCACGTACTCGAGCACCGCACGTATCGTGTTGGTGCCGCCCTCGATCACCAGGCAGACGACGGGCGTACTGGAATGTGTGACTACGGGAGAATGGCACAAGAGGTTAAGATTTGAGTGGAGCAATCCGTGGGGGACATGCAACGGGTGAACGGGGATTAGTCTGATTCACAGGGTGCAGGCCGCTAGTGAGGACTCAACAGGTCGACTGTTACTCTCCACCTGGTGTCAGCATAGTACACTCAACGGAAATGTACAGCTCCTTCTTCCAATTAACAAAATAATTTAACGTATGTGGTATGTTGCTTTATAAACATGTCGAAAATTCTAATAAAATAATATCTGAATACTAGAAGAGCGGAAGAACTACAAATTATCCTTTGACTAACAGAAAAATTATAGAATTTCGGTATAGATTCAAAGAAAATCGAATAAAAGAAGAAGTAACTAGTTTGGCTTAGAGTAAGAGTTTCCAAAAAGATGATTTTTATGTTTGAAGCGAAGAAATTATCAATAAGAAAGGAAGTAAAATTTCAGTATACCATTTGTTTTAAGCCAGTGATTCTTTGCTAGAAGTATAAGTAAATTTGAAAAATGTCTTAGGAAACTGGTTTAATCAAGCGTTTTTTTCCAATATATAATGATAGACAGCATACATTTTAAACTGTATCTTAATATTCTGTTTTTAGATATGGATATTTCTATATTCCTATGCCAGCTAGCTCCTTTTGTTAAACCATTTCAACGATGTTTTCCATTCAGAACAAGCCTTTCTAATATCTATTGTGTTTTTCCGAGTGCAATAATAACTACCAACGACAGCCCGGCACATCAGTCTGAAAATCCCCGCCATTCGGAGCTTAGCCCGCGGCATTGGCCATGAAAAGAAATGGCTCTCAATGGCCTCCGATGACAAGGAGCTTCAATCTGCGGCCTGATTGGCCTTTTGTGCTGTCGAGCTGTCAGCTGCTGGCTTTTGTCCTCGACTTACATGGGTGTAGCTTCAGGTTGGATATGAACTTCTCCAGCTTGCGACGCAGTATCAATTCGGCGCCGTACTTGGCCTGCGTTCCATTGTCCACCAGGAGAAAGTAGGCATGGCGATTGTTCAGCACGGCCAGCTTGGATCTGAAAGGAGGTGGAAACAGGTGATTGCAACAGGTTGCTTGATTTAATTGCTGTGGGAATTGCAACAGCTAATACTCATGCATTTTTAAGCCGGGGTTGCCCTGATTTTGTCCATTAACTATGCATTACCTGGGCGAACTAATGCTGTGGCAGGGCACCTCGCGGTTGTGGCCCAGCAGCTCGTGATTGCGCTCCACGATGCCCCAGGGAGCGATGCCGATGCTGACCACTCGTCCTGTCCGCTGCTGACCCTCCAGGAGCAGGGCGTCGCCCACTTGCTTGGTGACGCCTGTTTGGGAGCAGAGAAAGCACAACAATGGCCACGTTGAGTAAGTGCGTAAACAAGTTTGTCTCCGCCGAGTATTGCGATAGTCTCATCCTCCGGCGACCTTCTCACATCCAGTTTTTATTCTTGTTTTATATCTTAGTTGGTGGGGCGTGTCTAAAATTTAATAACAACTCGAGCACAAAACCCAGACGACAAAAAAACGGACGAAAGGCAGTCGAATGAAAAATGTAATAAAGTATACAGCACGCAGGATCCCGATGCGACTATGATATGCGCTTCTGCACAAATGGAAACAACTTTTTTTCATTTTCTGTATTTTTTTATATAAAAGAAACTAGTCGAAATACCTGTTCACTTTTACGGCAAATGGAGTAAGTAAAAAATGCAAAGCTTGGAAAAAGTGTCAAAGGTTTTTCTCAAACGAAATGCTGAATGAAAATGGGAACATCATCAAATATTTCCACTCGTTTAATTAAATTTTTATCAAGAAATTTAATAAAGAAGTCACATTGAAATAAAGTAAAAAACATAAAAACGAGGGCAATTTTCGGGCTACCCCAATGTACTCATGTCCACCCTTCCTGGCTGGATAATCCAATTTATTTGGGGCACCCGATCCAGATGCACCCACACCGTCCCCCTTTCGGGAACCCAGTATACCCGAAAGATTGAGCCACTGGGTAGCACAATATGTTGACTGGCAAGCAGTTGAAGTGTGTACAATCACTGGCTGCGTGATTTCCGCTTGGGATTTTATTTATTTAATTTTCGACTGGGGTCGCTCATCCGCACTCGGCTGCTCCTCCTCCATTTTCCTCTTTAAGTTTTTCTGGGCCCCACCACCACCCTCCCCCTCCCATCCGTTTGTTTGTTTGTTTGTTTGCTCATTTTCCCCGCTCATTTTTCCTTGTGCTTATTTAAGTTGGCCTGGCCTGGCCTGGCCGTAATCGTTGGCCATAAAACCGGGTAGTGTCCTTTCATAAAACTTAAATGAAACGGAATGCTCACCGGTGTTTGTGCCGCCGGTGAATATCCAGGCTCCCGTGGTCTTGGCCGCCTTCAGCAGTCCTTTGCGTATCTCCTGCGAATCGAATAGAAATCAGTTTGAGTTTCGGTTCCAGGATGCCACGGCCATTCAATTAGCGTGTGACACACGACCCTTCTTCCCATTTTGGGATTGGGATTGGGTTGGGCCTTCTGGCCGAACTTTTGCCCACCTTTTTCAGCTTGGCCTGCAAATCAAAGTTGGCCTTGCCGCCCTGCACGGTGATCAAAAGTTTTGGCAATTCCAGATTCCATTCCTTGGTGAATAGCTGCACCAGCAGCTCGGGCCGCGTGTCGAACGACAGGCGAACGTACTGGAAAAAACGGTCAAAAGTTATTAAGGGCCGCACTAAAAGAGATTGCCCAGGAATGGGATTGGTGGTTCAAGGGGCTGTACCTGTGCCTTTGTGGGGTGGGCGCCGCCCTGGAACTCGATGGTTCCATAGGCATCTGTGGGCTGCGGGCGGGTGTGCTTCGTGGGCAGCCAGAGGTCTCCGGGCGACCCACTCTCGATGCCCGGTATCGTCTGATGCGTGATCTGGGCCTGGCCACAGCAGCATCTGCAAGGATAACAATTTGACCAATAACAGTGAATAAATAACTTATAACTATACTTTTTAGTCGAATTATGATAACTAAACTGTGTAGCTTACTTTAAAGGTAAATTAATTTTAATATTACATTTAAAGAATTTAAAGGAATAAGGAGTTTCTCTTTTTATTAAAGGTACTTCAAATTAATTGGGTCTTTTCTCCTTTTTCGTTTCCCATTTTTATAGTCCTTTAATTGAATTGGCAATTTCGTTTTTCAATTTAAAAAACCTTACTTTTAAATGGTTTAAATTCCAGTTGCAGCAACTGATTTCAGTATATTAATTACAAAAAATCCAGTTTGTTTTAGATATTCCCATATAATTTTATAAGTTTAAAGATACAATTCTCCTATTTTTCTTGTAATCTTTTCAACTTTATGCTGCAAGACATCCTTGAGCTCCTGGCCAACATATTCCTGGCCATCGAGTGTGTTGACTGGCTGTCAGGATGCGTGGGTGTAAATGATATTCAACAAACAAGAGTCAGACCGCCACGCCCCCAGAAAAACACACACGCATCCGCCTTTACCTGTCACATTGTTTGCTATGCCCACGTGTGATATAAAGCGTTATTTACGCCCGTGTGTACGTTAGTGTTGGCTTTGTGGCCCCGAAAAAAATATGGCAGTCAGAAACGGAGAGGCAATAACCTGTCTGACCCGACCCCAACCGAACTGGGCTGAACTGAACCCAAGCGAACCGAACCGACTGTCTGTTTGCTTGCCAGCTGATGTTCTTGTCAGGTGCTTAAAATTGTTTGCTAAATAATGCATTTCAATTAGATCACCTCCACGGCGCACAGCCTCCCTCGGGCAACTCTCACTTTGGCCAAATAAATCGGTTTGAATGGAATTAAATAATCAAATTAATCGACACGTGTCTGTGGCTCATTCCGCCGGTAGTGAGTGATATGCGGTAGACATGCCAGACTGGGATAACTTTCACGACTTCAAATTCCATCTGCTACTTGGCAATATTAAATTATGCTGTCTTCGAGCTTCAAAAATACAAGTCAATTATTCTGTTTGTAGCATTTGCTAATGAATTGTAAATAAAGCTTTACATTTTAATTTTAAAACATGGTTGTCTTTTTAAAAAAATGCAATAAGTCTTCCAAAGCTCGAATAAAAAATGATATGATAATAATTCAAGTTGTATTACTTCGTTTTTAAGTAATATCCTTTTAAATTACACTTTATATAATTATCTTTTAAATTACATTTTAATTGAACCGTCTACCCCTTTATAACAAAATTTAAATCACTTGTCAATCAAACAATTTCCATTAAACTTTAAACTAAATTAGAAAATCATCATTAAACTTGAACCAAAAATTCCCTTTAATTGAGGGCGAAATTGAACTTGTGCAAGTTCAAAGTATGAACTATGAAGAAGAGCAATCTTGGTGAATTTATTTTAATTAGCCAAGTTTGAGTTATAGAACTACGGCTGCGAGTAAACTCGTTGAGGACGACTAATGGAGATGCTTTTGGGACTGACAGCTACCGGTTGCCGTGAGAACGGGGTGAAAAGGGGGAGAAGTGTAGACCAGGGAGCAAATATTTGGCAAGCCGAGTGCTGATAACAGGGTTCTAGTCGTGTAAAGTCAAGGGGGCCATAAACCCATCGCCTGTCCCACTGCCACTGCAGCTATGTATCTGTGCTGAAAACTTTCACCAGAATGTGAATACGCATCAGCATCCGAATCTGAATCAGTTGGGCCGCGGCTGGGTTTATGGCGCATTTATCTCAATTGCTGGTTCTTGGGACAGCGGCTGTCATAATAAACAATAAATGCTAACGCCCAAAACGAAACTAAATACACAACGGTCTAGGAACTGGGCCACTGCATCTTGGCGAGCGTTTTTGATATGCGAAACTGGGTCAACAGCTTTCGTCTTGGACTTGGACCCCTAACTTCCCCACGTCCCCGCCTCCTGCTTTCCCCAAACCTTCTGGTGCCTTTCGTTAGATGAACTTAAATGCAAATAAATGAAATTAGTTGGCACTTACTTTGTATCGTCCCTTGGGCATGGTATAAATTTGATGCACTCGCGCTTCTGGAAATTTGTCTCGATCCAACTACGCGGCTGGTGCTAAATTGAACAAAAGTGAAATCAGTTAGAATATTTTTTGTACAATTAAATAGATATCAAAGATATCTCCACGTTGAATGCTCATAGTTACACTTTATACACTGATAATACAGCTAGAGGAGCAAATGGAAAATAACTTGAAGGAAACAAAAGATTCGTTAGGTATACATATCAACCAAAAAGTCATAGAGAATGACTGTTACCGAGGATAAGGGGTGCTTAAAGTATGCAATGCACAAGAAAGGATAAATATTTGTCAAACCAAAATTGAGTTTAGTTCGGGTTGAGTAGCCTCACTGAAGAAGGTTTGAATAACTACACTTGAACCAATAAATTATAAATCAACTAATCAAATTGCAAGTAGTTCTCAATAATTATTTAGTAATTACATATTTCGGGGATAAACAACGACGACACAATACAATCACTATTTAAACAGTACTGATTCGAAAACAAATATTGAAGAAATTAATTAGTTAATTGACCATAAACAAATGTATAACAAATAAAGGTATGCATTTACAGAATAAAATATTTACAATGTTAGTGAGGGGCGGTCGTTGCATCTGACATTGTTAATTTATATATTTACATTTGCCACAGTAGAACTAACCCACTTTTGAATATTTAACTAGGCAACCAAACAAAATATCTTTACCTTAAATTCAATGGCTAGTTTTGGTTTACAAGTTTACAAATTCAAATCACCTAACAAGGATCTCTAAATATTATTTAAAATTCCTTTCATTTAATCTTCCGAAAACAAATAGAGACTACAAAGCCCTATATGATTGGCAGCGTTTTTGCACTTTGATCGGCTTATGTGAGCCAACTGTAGTCACGTTTTCATGCCGGCTTGAATCCTCTGGCACTCGCACAATTGATTCCAATTTCGAATCAAAACTTTGGCCAACTGCAACTTGGGTGTTATCGCGGCAAACAAAGCCAAAGTGGCAAACTTTCGGGTTCACATGGATCTGGGATTCTGTAGTGGTTGGGAGGGCAGGGGTTATACCGCCACTTAGCAGAGTTTTGGATGCCCTACCTCCTTCAGGGGTTCACTGCCGGGATGGGCCTTTAGCAAATCGCGCACGTTGAGTATCAGGACCTTCGATAGCGTCGAGGAGACCGAGGAGCGCTTCCGCATCCGCTGGCGCCGCCGAATGCCCCGCGGCGTGGAAGCCGGAGTTCGTGGAAACGGGGGGGACTCCCCGCGACAGTGGGTGGTGGGCAGATGGGCTGCCGACTCGGCCGCAATAAAAGCGGATGTGGAGGCTCGAACCGAAGCGACGACAGCCGGTGTATTGCTGTATCGCCGAACGGTGGAAAAGTCCTTGGATATGCGACGCAGATATTTGTGCGGGGCAAGGGGGGAGTCCGTAACCACCATGCCTATTTGTACGCTATTTCCCGCTAATGTGCTCTAATTAATTGAATTCGAAGCGGTTCGCGAGCAGCGGCTGCAACGGAATTTGCATCCGCAACCGAATCGGGCGACAGGTGAATCTCGACTGACACGCACCTGCAGCTCACCTTTCGGTTTAGCCGAGCAATATGGCTATATGAGCAATCTGCGAGAGCCCATCTCCGTTTGGGAGGGGAAAGGTGGAAAGGAAAGGCAGGTGGGTGGGTGGTTGCTGTATCCCTCTCATGCTAGATAAACCCATCTAGAGGTATAACTACCTAGATTAATTTACAGACCTAAAAGCTTTTTAACTGGCTTTTCCATGGCGCCCAAAAGTATGAAGCAAAATCGAGTTTATTAGCCCCCTATTAACCCCTCAAAATCCCAGCCAAATGACATAACTTCAGCTGGCAGAAGCCATTTTGTGGTCTGCCAAATCGGCATTGGCCAAAAATGTCATTTGGGTTTTGGCCAAGACTCTGACAATTTGGTGTTTCATCTGCTCAGCCATTAAATTAATTGATTTTCTAAATTAATGATGCTCTAAATCAAATGCTATTTAATTTGCGAAATTACCACCACAATCCATCGACTATCGGGTGTCTGTTTTGTAAGCTCAATCCACTAAATGGATTTCCGGATATAACGCAGTTAATTAATTACCTTTGGCAGCTCAATGAAGTGAAGCTGCTAATGAAAGTCCTGCAACTACTTCGGTAATCCAATCAAATATTTGTTTAAAATACCTTTTCTTAGCTTATGGGTTAGGTGCACATTAGTAGGCAATTACGAATGCAACAAGTAGGTTGAAAGGAAATTTTCAAAACATAATTAACAACAGCAAATGTGGGGGAACGTACAACGAAAACAAGTAAATGATATTTAAATTAAAGTGGAATGTAGATTGCTTACCCTGGGCACGGTTATATTTATCAGACCCCAACAGATTTTTTTCAGTCCCCATGGTATCTTTAAGGGTTTCGTTTGTATTGTTTTGTTTGGGTTTTGGTTTTGGTTTTGTGGGTGTACGTGGGTATTGACATTTACATTTTACAATTGTCATGTTGTTTTAGCGTTTACGTGTCACAGACACATTGCAGATTTGTTTATTGTCGTCGTTTGAAGGTCGTGGTAATTGTTGTTTTTGATGTTTCAATATTCGCATATATTATTTTATCATTTGTGCAATTTCGAACACAATTTTGAGCACGCACGCACACACACAGACACAAGAAATTGTGCATTTAGAATTCAACAACAATTCGTGGTTTGTAAATTATTCATTGTTGTTTGTATTTTTGGGTTTTTTGGGTGTTGTTTTGTGTGTGGTATTGTGGGTGGGTGGAAGAATAGAGTGTGAAAACACAAAAAGATTAATTAACAGATCATAGCACAATAATTTAAATGGATAATAAGGATTGTTCATTGTGTCGCAGAACGAAATTAAATCCAAATCAAGGTGAATAATTTAATTTTAAAAGGTCACATTTTCGTTTTTAGGGTGTTTTTGAGTTACGCAAAGATTGGCGTGTCAGTGTGTGGGGTTGTGTTGTGCAAAGCAAAGTTGAAAGTAGAAGAAAAATATTATGTTTTCAAATTAGTTTTAAGACTTAAAATAAATCGCTCTTCTCCGATGTGTTCGACATTTGTTTATTTTTTTGGGGCAAACTATTTGACTTACTACCAGACCGCTTTGATTGATACTATTTATTGACAAAAGGTATTCAATTCAAAGAATTACCGTGTTTAACAAGCTTTTAAATACCCATGATACTATGCTTTAATATTAATTAGTATTAATCCAGACCTACAATCTACTATGGAAGGTTACATTTACTCATCCTGAAAATATGCATCGAAATGATAGTGACTATTGTGTTTTGCAAAGAAAAAAAGCGTTCAAGGATTTAAAAATTGAGATTTTCTTTTTTTATCTTTACAGTAGGAATACCTAGATACCGACTAAAATTACGAGTGAAAGCGAGAAAGACTTCTATAAACTGCTCTATTTCGAACATTATACTTTCGATAAATAGTTTTTTTTTCATCAACTGATCCTAAAACTTTCTGAAGTAGTTAAAATTTCAAAACCGCAGCTTAAAGTGAAACACTGACTTGGCTAAGTATTCTGCCTGTCTCGCCAAAACGATGGCAGTTGCATCTGCAGGTAGCTCTGAACTGGTAGTTGGAACACACGTCTACAATCGTATGTGACAAGTGCAGGCGGTGGCCACAGGTGGGGCATAAGTCCACACACACACACCAACCGCATTGCCAGCCACACGGAATTCATGATATTTGCCACACAACTGAAGGACTAAGACCAGAAAATAGCCACAAAGCACGTCTACATTTTACTCTTAAATTGTTTTAATAATTAAAAAACAAAAATCGGTGCTAATGAATTAGTTGATGCATTTTAAATGGTGTTTTATAGTAGTCTTGAATCACGCACTAAAAAAGACCTTAAATAATTCAATAATAATTGATTATTAGTAATAAATATTTATGTACTTCTAAGTTTTCTGAATAAAATACATAAACATAATTTATTATTTATAAATTGATTAATTTTTATCAGATTTAAAAGGTTGCACAATTTACGAAAATAACTATTTCCTTAAAATATTCAAATTTAGGTTCAGCAGTCCGTCAATAAATAGTTTAAAATATGTGCTTCTGACTGCCAAGCGCCATATCAACTGCAAGTTAACATAAACGGAATAAAAATGGACGGGCAAAGTTTAACAACTTATAACTACGAGTTCCCACGGAAACACCCGAACGTTTCCTCTGAGCGAGAGGAAAACCAATTAAACTTTTAGCCCCAATAGAACCGAGGGACGTCAGCCGCAAAAAGTGGGCGAAGCATTAAGAATGTTATGCTTATCTACACTACTGCCGAACGAAACCTTTGGGCATATAAAGCATAACCATATATGTGCCAGTACGGAAAATGCGGATGCATGTTGGCATCTCTTCGGGGCCGTTCCATGCAGCGTCTATTAAAATAAAAGCTTTTTGCTCCAACTGAACCCAGGAGCCACAAAACTTTTGTGTGGGCATAAAACACAGTTCGCTTGATGTGGAAGGATGTGTGGCATATTTCAAATTAATTAAACGGCCAGGACACAAAACAACAGAGACATGGCTAATAGCCATTGACGACCGACTGAATGAAGTATGTAAAAAAAAAACAATATAAGTACTGCAGCTGCAACTTAATTAATTAACTTTTGTTTAACACTTCATCGGAATTTATGATTTTCAATGAGCTGTGGAAAGGGGGCGGCAAATTTAACCCCTTTTGGTTATCTGAACGGAAATTGCTAAACTAATTAGCCAATATGCTGTTCGAACTCCCACAGGAAATCAAAGTAACAATGGAACTGAACCGAAAGCCTGAACGTGCGGTTATCCAATTAAGCTCGCCATCCGGAATCGAGCATAAAAATTGATGCACTCGCAGTTAGGATTAAACCACAGCAGCTCAATAATGTTCAGCCGCAGGATGCAATTTGCCGGGCCACCTGTCTTATCGAAACCGATAAAAGTTGTGCAACATAAACAGCACTTAATACCCACATCAAGCCCCGTCATCTCATCCTCATCCGCTCGTGCATAATGCAAGCTGGCGAATAACAAAAAGGGAGTTGGGCGGTGGGTGGTGGGTGGTCCTTTAGTGTTTCACCTGCTGTGTTGACTTGCGGGTTCCCAAAGTGGAAAATTGATGGAGAAGCTGCCGCCGATGCTCCACGAGCTTATGCTGATGCTGGTCTTGCGGCTGTTGCCATGGCTGATGAAGTGCCACATTCGTTTGCGAGAAACGAAAAACGCCACAAGACGTCGTCGTGGTGATGGATTTCCGGAGGAGTGAAGTGGCAATGGGGAGCTGGCCATTCAGCGAATTTTCCGAGTCCCGCTTTTGCATGGCTGCATCTCAAAAGGAGTGCGAAATTGACTTTTCAGGAGTCCACCTCGAAAGTTTGCTCACTGGATCAGAACCAGATATGCCAACAATCCACTCAAAAAGGGATTCGAAAAATAAATAAAATGGGGTACCAATTGCTGACCTATAACTCATTTTATTGTGTCTTGAACCAACTTCATTGGCTTTGTTCGTTTTGAAACTATTTAATCTACAATTTATCTATCTCCCATATAGACATTACCACCTTAAACGTTTGCACATTTTCTCAAGTGAAAATAATGGCACCCCAATCAAAAGATTATGTGGAAGAAGGGATCAAATGGCTTTGTCCTTTTACCCATAACTACAGCACCTGGTTCAAAACCTACTGTAGCCTTAAGCTCCGGCTGCATTGTGTCAATTTCCTTATGCGGTTATTCCACTACATTGGTCGGCTCATTCATTAGAACAATTTTTTCTCAGCCTATACGATTTTACGTAGGTGCGAGCAAGACAGATATATGTAAGCTGCAATGAGCAATTAATGAGCAAAATTTTAAAAACCGAAGGCCACCATTTTATTTTTTTTTTGTATGAGCAAAATTGAATCTAAAAAGTACAATTTTGCTCATTTATTAGAGCTACTGTAAATCGGATCTTGCTCGCACCTACGTAAAATCGTATGGGCTGAGAAAAAATTGTACTAATGAATGATCCGAACGATGTAGTGGAATAACCGCATTATTAGTCACAATATCATTTAAGATTCAGGCTGCACATTAGAATAGATTCCTTTGTCCTGTTATTAGGAGGACTGCAGTCCAATGCACCAGTTAAAGGGGGAGTTAGAGAGGCAATAAGCCAAATTAATTAATTTTATCTAAAGCATCCGATCTGCCTGACAAGAATGGAGTGTACGATAGATGGAACCATTAATCCTTTTAAACAAACTAATCATGTAAGGAAAGCATAATAATAGTCATTATAATTGACTAATTTACCTACCAAAAACATGAGCAATTAATTTCAAGAAACACAATATATGCTAGGTCTCCCCACAGCCAAATCATAGATCCGCCACTGATAGGAATGATTATATTTTTCCCCCTAAATCCAAATTGCCATCACTGGGGCGAGTGAATTTCATTCGAGAATTCGCTCTGCGCTTCACAGTCGA